TCAGTATAATATAATAAATATTGCATGTAGTTAAGTGTAATATTGAAAATTTTCACCCCTCAAAAACCAAATACATCAAAAAAGGGATGGGTTTCTTTTCCAACTTCTACATAGTTTTGGTATAGACCTTGGAAATGTTTAAACGGGCTAAGAGAAATCAAATGCATCAAGAGTACTTAATTGTTTTTACCCAAGTTACATGCCAAAAAAGATTCAGAGAGACGTCACATAAAGTTAACGTTGATTTGAACTGAAGTTAGGGTGTCAAAAGTCATTCACGTCCAAAAGTGAACATTGATCATGTGTGATAGATAATAAACTCCTACGGGCTAAATATGCTGCCATAATCAAGTGAGGATCTTTCCCTAATCCTATATATAAATCCATTTAGTACAATATTATATGCACTTAAGCAGCTGTTTATGACATTGTAAAATTATATAAACAAGACCGGTTTATATAATTTATATCAATTTATATAATTAATAATATAATTTATGTAATTTTATCAAGATAAGTGTATGGGGTAGAGGGAGCAGACATTGAGAATCAATGTTGTCGGACCTCATGAAACTAAACTAAGTCTTCCAAATAACCCGGGAGTCCAATGCCAGGGACCTGTTAAATTTGCAGCCGGGCATGTAAAAATTGCCAAATTACATGTCCGAAGAGGGCATATGTGAATCTTCTTTCATTGTACGATCTTTACTTGCCATTTACTCTGTCCTACCCCCATTATTCGCTTAAACGTTGCTATATGTAATGTCGATGGATTGCCTGTCTACATTCTCAATACGACCTGTCAAATGATTGTCAATCTAATCATTGAAGTGTTTAGTTTAACCTATTTGTTTTCTCGAAGTTGCTTGCTAAATTACGAGATGTTCATCAATGCCACATACTGTGGCACTACAGTCATGATCCCATTTCTGAAATTCAGTTCAGCTAAACCGGCCAACAAATGACCAGCATGCAACTCAAAAGTTATTTATGAACAAAAACGCTTTAGAAAATGGCAATCACAGGCCATGGTTGGTTTACGACGCTGAAAAAATTAATATAAAACCTTTATACCTAATGGGTTTTTTTTGTTGCACAATACTGGTAAATGTAAGAATTTTGAGTAGGACATGTACAAATTTGAATGGGCTGGGTAAAAATGATAGGTCTACATGCCCGAAGGGCATGTGCTGAAAAAGAATTGTTGTGAAGACTGAACTAAAGCGACAGCGCCGGGTGATCATATAAAGTCCCCTTTATTACATAATAATTTGTCAAATTATCAACACATCAAGCTAAAATTTCCAACATATCTTAACGGTGAGAATTTTTATTTTTTAAGTTGAAACCTCATGACCTGTGAAAAAAATGAAATTTGTATCCCATCTAAAGTCTTAAAATGTATCAAGGTAATTTTCGATACAAATTTGCGGTTGAAGTTATAAATGAGGGATAAAACCAGAGACCTCGGAATGGAATACTCGGAAGTCTCTGGTTTTATTCTAACCCCAACTGGAAGTTGTATCCCATCTAAAGTCTTAAGATGTATCGAGGTACTTTTCGTGGAATAAATGAGTGCTTTACAATAAAGAGACTCGACCAGAGATGTCTGAAACGATTTATTTGACAAGAAAAAAGTCTCTTGAAGCGAACGATGTCATTTTAAAGTAGGTTAATGATTGATAATGATACATGAACAAAATACGAGCTTGAAGCGGGGGTGCCTGAAATTGAGTTAGATACCTTGTGGTAAAAATAAGTAGGGGTGCACTGTATATGAAACAAGTGCCTGTGATTGATAGTCTGAAATTTCTCTTCACCTAAATATTAAAATCTTGCAGTGATCGCTATTAATCTATACAACAGTCAAGTTACATATGGTAAACTAACATAAAAACAAGATTACAACAGTCATGATTACAGAAGGTATATTTTGAAGACTCTAGGTCAGTAGGTGAATGTAAACAGATAAACACACGTGGGACAGTCACCGCAAATATGAACCACAAAACGACTTATAACATTAAAATGTAAATATTCATATGCACACAGATTTTTGCATAATAATAATAATTTTTAAAAGTGTAAATTAAAATATAAAATAAACAAACCTCAAACCTTGTAACAAGGCTTGTTTCCCTACAATCTTATTCTGGTTCTCTGTGGTTCACTGAAGGGAACCAGGCTGCGCTATTAACTCGTACACAGATTTGTTGATACGAATAAACCTATAAACATATATACGAAATAAAATATCATAAAAAATGAAGAATTTCAAATTGCTTGAAAAATTATCTTTATGTAGTTTATAATAAATGGTTGTAATTGTTTATTAATTTCTATCTATCCATTAAAATTTGATACGTATATCAGCTTAATATGTATCCGTCTGAACAATTATTGTTATTACACTCCCTGTCACATCTTCATAGTTAAGCCTGTAAGCATGGTAAGTAGGACTCAATTTCAGTTGAAGTGGACCAAAACCAAACATTTTTCAGTTTCATTTGGTGGGGAGGGGGGGGGGATATAAACCTCAAATGATTATTTTATCTCTGTCACTGAACTGCTGAAAATAATGAAGGGAACTAGGCTGCGACAATGATTTGTTGACAGAATTAAAATACGAAATAAATTATCATACATACGAAATAAAATAATTTCATGAAAAAATGAAGAATTTCCAATTGCTTAAAAAAAAGAAGCTTTTCATGTATGTGATTTACAATAAATGGTTGTACTTTTATATTTTCTATATATCCATTAAAATTTCACAGTATCAGTATTTCACTATTTGTAAACATTAACAATAATATTAAATAAATGTTACACTCACTGTGGCTTTGACTGAGTTATTGTCACATTTTCATAATTAAACGAGAATATTCCCTTCCGTAAATATTGCTATATATATCTGAACTGTTACCAATTCATCTTTCTTTGGTGAAAGAAAACCTCAGGGATGGAGAATAGGCCCGTACGTAATTTAGTTGGAAGGGGGGGGGGGGGGTGAGCACAACCAAACAACATTTTTCAGTTTCAGGTTGGGGGAGGCTACAAACCAAAAAAATTTTTAATAAGCAAAAGAAAAATAGATCATCAGAGGTTATAATTGAGGGGACCCAAGCATAAAGGAGCAATGTTTTCTATAGTATATACCTAAATTTCAGCAAAATTATAGGGGGCCTGCCCCCCTCCCCTTCCTTCAGCCATGTATTGTATCAAATCTGCTTCACCCTGATTCAGATTTTTTTTACAGCATATATATTCTATTAGCAGAGGACCACATTATATTAATAAACAATTATTAAATTACAGCTATTTTTTTCTTACAGGGTCTGTTTCATTTATACTATATCATGATGAACATGTCCTGCATGATGTTTACAGAAAGTTTAATTTAAATTTTTAAGCTCGAAATAGCTGCGTCAACTTGCGAGACTATTTTTTCATTGTTCGGCCTAATCTTTAAATATTTATTTGTTTGTGGACTTGCATAAAAGAATTTAAAAAATATAGGGGCCTATCATTTAACTTTATTTCGAATTTCCTTCAGGATTTTATATACCGAACTATAGTCTAACGATTATTTAAAATCATACTTTTTCTCTTGAAAGCTAAATTACTAGGCAAAAAAAAAAAAAAAAAAAAAAAAAACAACAACAACAAAACCAAACGAATGTTTGTCTTGTGTATTCTTAATTACAACTTATTACTGTATCATTTTAGTTACTTACCCAAATTTCTCAACATCCATGGTGTTCAGAGGTCATTTTCTGAAAACTGAAGGGGCATTCCGATGGCATTCGGAACAAATGACGGAAAGCACTTGCTAAGAATTCAAAACATGGTTCATAAATTTACAATATTTTTCCTTTTTAGGTTTTTAACATAAAACATGGAAAACTAAGTTAAAGAAACACTCATTTGAACAAATCAAAAGCGGAAAAAATATATATGCTAGATTTTTTGTTTAATTGCATGTTTTTCATGGTCTCCAAAATGCAGAAAAATTATCCTTTGAAATTATACGTAGGTTATAAATTCTTTTCTTTTTTAGGGAAGATGATAGAAATTAGACAACTTTTGAATGTTAAATAACAGAGTTAAAGATTAATAATATTTAATGGCAGACTGTTTATTTATCTATAAAAAGACATTTGCAATACTGATGAGGTCAAAATAATAGGGAGACCGAAAAAGGTCGCCTTAATCCAGTGGTCTCCCTAAGCCAGAAAATATATCCTCCTTGGTCTCCTAAAGCCATATGTCATATATATATATATATATATATATATATATATATATATATATATATATATATATATATATATATATATATATATATATATATATATATATATAAAGCACAAAGAAATTCACTTTTATAAGGATACCCACTTCCGCCCCAGCCCCGGTTGAACTCTCGACCTACGGAATCTGTCTCCTAGCAGAAAAGGAACAGCGTGCTGGACCGCTCGGCTATCTAGGCAAGTCAAAAAACTTGCTTTCGATGCCGATGGAATTATCGCGGCGCTGCCCTACACTACACGGTCATTGAGAATGGAAGTGAGGTACAGTTATCTGGACATTAGTTTTATTAGAGGATCGTTACCAATACACGTTGTAATGAAATAAATTTTTATTTATTAAGCACATTTTACATTCCATCGGCATTGAAAGCAAGTTTTTTGACTTGCCGGGCTGGAGCGGAAGTGGGTATCCTTATAAAGTGAATATCTTTGTGCTTTCTATATTAATATTTCTTCACTTAGGGCACTGAGTTATGTTAAGTTTAAGAGTTGTTGTAAAATGTGCTTTATATATATATATATATATATATATATATATATATATATATATATATATATATATATATATATATATATATATATATATATATATATATATATATATATATATATATATATATAGTTCTTTTCAATGCTACGATACGTTTTATGTGTCACATGGGTCGCCGTACAATTTTATAAACAACATCCGACAGTCACATGCTGAGTATGGAGGGGCCCCTTGTCCTCGCCTTGTCTCTACTCGCCGTTATTCTTCTGGCCTCCTCCTCACCGCTTTTCTTCTACCCTCACCATGACAACAAAGACACCTCCCAGCGGTCCAGCGTCACCCCGCGGCACCCTAAGTTTAGGACGTCGAAGTACAAGACGGAATGTGGAATCCTGACGGATCTAAGTTTTATCGGATGTGAGGTGTGTACGCTGGTGGTGGACGGATTAAAGGATTTGGTGGAGAAACAGAGCTCTCAGGAAGAAATTGTTGACTTTATGACGTTTGTGTGTAAAAAGTTTAAGATCGAAGACGACAGGGTGTGTGAGGCAATCACAGAAGAATATAAGGTAGAAAATTAATCTGTAAAATTATATAAAAAAAATCAAATTATTGACATAAAGAAATGATTATTGTAGCTCTTAATAAAGGTTGCATTTAATGTACTGTCTTTTCTTTAAATTCCCTCCCTCACCGCTGGCTGCAGAAAACCTAAATCTTTTATTCATAAATAAATTACTCGCTTAAGTACAGCTTCGTATGGGTATATATTGGTATATGAATATCAAAATACTCGTGATTAATTATAAGATCAGTTAAGATACAATGTTTTGAAAGTATGAACATACGTCGTTATTTGTACATGACTGTAGGAGGGGGGGGGGCGCACGGATGACCGGACCGTGCCCCCAATAATTTTGCCGATATGATATACTATAGAAAACATAAGTAAGGTCTGATGAACTTTTTTCTGCTTGTCGACGAATTTTTGCCTGGTAGTGCCCCCCCCCCTCCCCATCCCCACTGAAAATGTTAGGTAGTGCTCCCCAAACTGAAATTGCTTCCTACGGGCCTGTTCTGTACTATTAAATTTATAAAATCATTTCCGCTATGTCCCAGTCTCGGGAAATTATTTAATCTTTTTATCATGTATTACTATGTACACTTCTCATTTTATCACAACGATTAATTACAAAAGGATACAATAAATATTCAATTTTCCTTGTCTATTTACTTCCTGTATCAATTTCTGGACAAAGCCTATTGTTATTTTTAAAAAATACAATTAATTAAGTAATAGAAAGTAAGAGGATATTACATGTATCATTCCATAATATTTTTTTTATCCATAACATTTTTTCTATCAGCCAAAATGTGGTAGGGCGCTATATCTTCGTGATCGGGAAGCCCGGATTCGATTCTCGTTCGCCGTTAAGCTCGTTAAGCTACATGCAAGACGTAAACATAGGTAGCGACTGTTCCTTCGCCAAGCGCCCGGCACTAGAAGTCAAAGACACGGGTCTTTTGGATGAGACCTTAAAAACCGAGGTCCCTTTCACGGTAGGTGTTGGCACGATAAAGAACCCCCACTGCTCAATGGCCCTGAGTGACGAGTATAGGTCTAAATTTGAAGCCCTTCGCCGGTATATGGTGACGTCTCTTTATGAGTGAAAAATTCTCGAATTGGACTTTAAACAACAAACAATCAATTGATCAATCAATCAGACAAAATGTACATGAAGGTAGTTTTGTTCTTTTAAAAAGTGCGAAACAAACTCAGTGCAAATTTCCTTTTCTAACATCAAAAATTACAAAGATCGTTTTTATCGAGTTTATTAATTTAAACTAGTAATATTGCACTTGTATTTTACTGGATTTTTCCTTAATGGTTTGAACATTTTATTGTTCTTGTAATTTAACCACAATTTTATGTATCAGTCATGTTTCTCCCATTACATCCACGTCTGGGATGTCTTCATGTTATACTACTTGATAGGCACCTGCTAATTCCCTCATCAATAAAAAATTATTGTGTATACTGTTGAAACCTTAAAAAACTGATTTTGAATAAAATTTTAGTTTTAGAAATTTTCAAAAAGTTGTGTGGAATTTTAACATAAAACTTTATCATAAAGATGTGTATATATTTGATAAAGTCAAGATTGTTAGTCCCATTGATATATATTTGTTCAGGACGAATTTATTGGAGTTGCGTTACGCCTCGTTTTGACTCCAGCGGAGGTCTGTGGAATTCTCTTGGGGAAAATTTGTGGAACACCGTATGATCCCAATGATCTCTGGAACGTATCACTTCCGAATACCCTGAAACCTCCACCAAAGCCAAGGGTCCTACCTAAGGTAACGTATCTCTTCTTAATACCCCAAAACCTCCACCAAAGCCAAGGGTCCTTCCCAAGGTAACGTATCTCTTCTTAATATCCCATAACCTCCACCAAAGCCAAGGGTCCTACCAAAAGTAACATATAATTTCCTGGTACCCCTAAACCTCCTTCAAAGTCGCGGGTCCTTCCCAAGGTAACATTTCTTCTATTAGTTTTTTAAATATGCCTGTCTTATTTTTATACGCTTTTTTATTTTTTACTTCAGTATAATTTTTGCACTTTTAGTTATTATATTAGTAATAGTACATTAATCCTCATCAATCACAAAGTAAAAATTCAGAATAACGTCAATCAATATCGTAATTGAAAAAAGTAAAACTGTAAAATTATTTATATTTTGGAATATTTCACATGCAGAAGATAACATTTTAATTTGATTTACAGCCAGGATCGCCAAAACTTCGCATCCTTCACTTGTCTGACATCCATATTGATCCCGGATACGAAGTCGGGTCAAAGGTTAAATGTGGGGAACCACTCTGTTGTCGTCAAGGAGACGGAAAAGCAGGTAAGCTTAGCAACAATTTTTGGTTCTTTAGATTTCCATTCATGAAAAGAATTCACAACATAAGAGCGTTTAGAAATTTATAAATTCAAAGGTAATTTAGCCATCAAACCGAGAATTTTCTCAAGATAAATCTACCAGTGAGAATTCTTTGTTTAGTAGCATTAAGTGTCTTAACGTTTTTGTTAGCTCCTGGTGAGCCTGCTGCCGGAATATGGGGGACTGTTGACTCATGTGACGTACCCTTCAGCTTGGTGGATAGTTTGTTTCAGCACCTCAGCTCCATACAGGATCAGGTCAGGCACTAGATTCATGTAAACAATATCATTTGTTTTCATATTTTGTTGAGCAAGTGGCTTATGAAGGGATGCATTTGTGCAGAAAGGAGATTGCAAACCAAGGCATGCAAAATGCCTATAGCTTCAGATATATGAAAGTTATATTCAATTTGTGAATTAAGTAGAGAGAGTCAAGTTCTTTTTATTGAAAGATAAGAAATCATGACAAACAAAACTTTTCTGCGGAAAATTCTTTCAGCAAAAATTATTCTATGATTTGAAAAAAGCAATGTGGTATTCTTGGGGTTCGAACCCAAGCAATAAAAATCCTTAGCGCCAGTTTCTTTTCTTTGATACTAACACGCTAACCACTACGCTAAACAACTCATGACAAATCATGTTCGTGAAATGATCCTTGACTAAATGGACTTCAAATATTTCTTGGAAAGATAGAATATTGTGTATAAAAGTGCATTTTTTTTGGTCGACATCCATGTGAATTATTGTTAATTGATAAAACGTCGTTGATATATCTCGTCCGAGCAAAAGAAAATGTTTAACACGTGTTATATAGGTTATACTAGTATTTTATGGATGATTTTTGTTTTCTTCTTGTGATGGGCTGTTGTGTAATTTATACGTGATTTTTTTTTTCTTTTTTAAGTGTTATTGTATTTATTGATGGACTTTTTGTTCTGTAGTGTGGTATGGTGTGTTAAGCAGTAGATTTAGTTCTGTAGTTTAATGTCCTTTCCACAGCTATATCGTAAACTTGCGTAATTACCAATAACAGAGATTCTGATCTCCAGGGAAGGATTTCATATTATACCGTATTTGGATTATGGATAGTAAGAAGTTGTATTTTATCAGTTGAAAAAATTACAAAGCTTTTTATTCTCTCTAATTTTATAGACCCTTAAATAAGCAACAGTCATAGAGGTTTCAAGAAAGTCTTTCTTGGATAGTTTTTCTTGTGATAAATATTTTTGTAACATATTGACATTAAGCACAGGGGTCGTACTTGGTCAATTCCAGGGTTTGGGGTGTTCAACATTGACTGATTGTTATGATTTAAGTGGACTGCCGAAATATACAAATATGTCCTAACCTTATCTAGGTAAACAATAATCAAATGGTAAATCAATATAACAATGGGAGGCAAGCAACAAAAAATTCTCTGGTAGTCCTAACTTAACACTAAATAGAGCCCAGTCGCCCTCAGACTACCGCATATACTGTAGGATGCCTTATTCAGGACGGACAGTATATGTGATAGCCCTTCACCCACTACACTCACTGTAGGATGCCTTATCCAGGACGGACAATGAGTATAGCAGCCTTGACAGACTGGTCAGCCAATGCAGATGATATCACAAACTACATGGCTAGTCTCTTTACTGGAGGACAACCTCTTCGTGGCAGGCCTTATATCTGGTTTGTCAAACCTCAAATGACCTTCCAAATTCACTCTCAAACTGTAACACGGGCGAGGAATTAATAACCGTAAATACTACACTTACACTCGTCTGCACTGTTCGGCTGGATCTTCACAATAACAACAGACGACTGCGGAGTCTCAGTATATATACCCTACTAATGTCACGTGATGTCAACAGTGACTAATTGAAAAATCCGCATGGTCGTACCTTAAAATTCCGCAATCATTACACTACCCATGCCTCCGATACATGCGTCCCGCATGTACAACTTAGAAACTAACTCATTGTATCATTTAGAAAAAAGCTTTAATGAACAACCAAACCTTTTTTTAAGTTATGTACAAAGAATTCCTTTCTTCTGTATTCTATAATCATATATACAACTATCAACAATTATGTGCAGCAAAAGTCAGCAGAATTCTGTCTTCTCCTCAACCACTTCTTCAATGTCAATGTCACCCTCACGAAATCTCTTAATCCGCCTGGTCACAATGGTTTTCTGACTAGCATCTGTCTGGATTCCGATGTCCACCATGGATATCTTCCTCTTACAACTGTCACATCTTGAGTCCTGTGTGTCTTCAACTTCTGGTGTACTGGTGGAATAAGGGATCTTAACCTTAGGAATGAGAGGTCTAGTAGGTGCTGTCTGTTTCCTTATGACTCTACCCTCCAGCAGCTGATCATTAGTGGCCCTTTCCTCTTTCTGTGGTTGAGAATCTTTTGACTCTTCCTCATTATCACTACTGTCAGTGGACAGAGTACCAATGACGTCCCCATAATCTTGTTTAAGCCACTCCTCCTCTGACAGTTCAGCATCTTCCATACTTTTACTCCTACTCGACTCTCCACTCTTCTCGGGCTTGCCATGAAGCTTGATAGGTTCCTCAATCAGGCCAAGATGGCTTCTTTTTTCATGTCTCTTGACATTCATCTGCTTATTGCTTGAGTAGCTGCAAAAGGTGCACTTAAATGTTCTCATAGCACACTGTAGAACATGACTTTTGTAATCCTCTTCGGATCTTGCCATATAGGTACACATGGGGCACCTACGACATTGCCCTGGAGTAACTTTTGTCTTTGTCATCTACAATAAATGAACAAAACATGCATTACGTGTTTATAATATTTTTTGTGAACAGTTATCATAGTATTATTACATGCCAGTTTTATAATCATGCAACCAGATCCATGCAACCAGATCGGTGGCTTACGAGCCCTACTTGGACGAATATTACTTGCTGGATTAGTATCAGGGAGGGCATCCTCATAACCTGTATAACGATCTGAATCAGATTTTCTATGCCACCATTATCATCCATCAAGTCATCAGTTTCACCATGTAGTATGTCATCACTTTCGCCTGATAGAACTTGCATACGCTTTTTGCGCATTCTATCTACATAAATGACTTGATCTGAACCTCTTGGACCACAATTTACAAGGTATGTCAAATCCGACATCTTTTTCCTAACCTTGTAGGGACCCTGCCAAAAACTAGTTAACTTAGGTAATGTTCCAGGTTTTCTCCTTGGGAAAAAACATACACCTCCTCGCCAGGTTCAAACTTTTTCCACACCAATTTGCGATCATGATGATGCTTTTGTCTGGCCATTGACTGATTCATTTTGTTCCTAACAAATGAGTGGGCTCTTTCAAGACGTTCCTGCAACTCCCAGACCCATTTATTGCTAGGTGTCTCTTTTATTTGAGGTGGCATCTCATACTGGAGATCCAATGGTGTAGCAACCTCCCTTCCAAACATCATCATGTTTGGTGTCATAGCGGTCGTTTCATGTACTGAACTGCGGTAGGCCATCATAATGAAAGGTAAATGCACATCCCAGTCATTATGATGATCATTTACGAACGCACTGAGCATTGTTGTGAGCGTTCTGTTAAAACGCTCAACCATACCGTCAGACTGGGGATGGTACAGGGTGGTATGCGTTTTCTGGATGTCTAGCAATTTACACATTTCTTTGAAGAGATTGCTTTCATATAGTGGTCCTTGGTCGGAATGTACCACAGCTGGTACTCCAAATCTTGTGATAACCTCCTCAACAATCTTTGCTGCGACTGTGGACGCTTCCATATTAGGTATTGCAAAACATTCAGTGAAGTAGTCTGAAACTATATATCGATTTCCATTGGCAGTCACAGGTAGCACTCCAAGAAGGTCAGTGGCAATCCTCTCAAATGGATAGCCAGAATACACCAATTTCATTGGAGCCTTGTTGCTTGGGATGGATGCTAGTACATACTTCACAACCAGCAATGTAGGAATGTACATCTCTTTGCAGACCAGGCCAATAATAAGACTGACGTATTCGGGCAAGCGTTTTGTGAATACCAAGGTGGCCTGCGGATCTACAATCATGGTAGTGCTTTAGCACAGTTCTCCTTTCACTACTGGGCACAATGGCTTTTGCAGTAACAATTGGTCATTTACTTTAGCACTGCAGATACTCATATGGTCAGTAACACAATGGTCAACTTTACATTGTCTACAAGGTGCGCGACTATGGCCGTCTGCATTGCCATACAATCTTCTTGGTCGGTCTTTAATGGTAAAGTCATATGTAGAGAGAACATCCATCCATCGGGCGAGTTGTCCCTCAGGATCTTTAAAGTTCATTAGCCACCTGAGTGAGCTATGATCTGTACGTAATGTAAATTGACGACCATACAAGTAATGCCGAAAGTTTTTCACAAAATGAACTGCAGCCAATAGTTCCTCCTAGTAACACAATATTTCCTTTCAGATTTTTTCAGACTCCTGCTTGCAAAAGCAATAGGCCGCTCAATACCGTCTTGCATCTGAGACAATACTGCACCAATAGCAAAACTGCTGGCATCAGTGTCCACAATAAACCTTTCATTGAGATCTGGATGGTCCAGTACTGGTGACGTTGACAATTCTTTACGTAGTAAATCAAACGCTTCCTGGCATTTGTCACTCCAAATAAAATGTGTTCCTTTCTTTGTTAAATCATGAAGTGGCTTGGCTATTAATGCAATGTTAGCTTCGAAACGCCTGTAGTAGCTACAGAATCCGAGGAATGATCTGAGCTCTGATACATTGGAGGGAACTTGCCACTCCTGCACAACCTTTATTTTATCTTGACTCGTTGATAACCCCTTTTTGGACACAATGTGCCCCAAATATTCTACCTCTGTATCAAACAATGTGCACTTTCTGGCTTTAAACTTAAGACCAGCTGCTACTAAACGGTTGAACACCAGAGTAAGATTATTAATCATATAATCTACAGTTTCCCCAACAACAATGATATCATCAAGGTATACAAGGCAAATTTGCCATTGCAGACCTCTCAGGACCGTTTCCATCAATCGCTCGAAAGTCGCCAGGGCGTTGCAAAACCCAGATGGCATGATCTTGAAGTTGTATAAGCCCTTTCTGCTTACAAACACTGTCTTTTCTCTGTCATGGGAAGCCACTTCAACCTGCCAATATCCAGCATTTAGATCTAAGGTTGAAAAATACTTCTTTCCGACAACTGATCAAGGGAGTCATCGATTCTCGGGAGTGGGTATGCATCTTTAATGGTTACATTATTTAACTTCCTGTAGTCGACACAAAACCTTGTGGTCCCATCCTTCTTCTTTACTAACACGACTTGGGATGACCATGGACTTGTACATTCCTCTATGATTTCCCTTTTTAGCATATCATCGATATGACGATCAGTCTCCTCCTGCATATGAATGGGCATGCGCTTTGGAGGCTGTGTAATTGGTGTGGCTGTTCCAGTGTTAATGGTATGCTCTGTAACTTTCGTTTGGCCTAAATCAGCGTCTGAGGCAGCAAACAGGTGTGAATACTTCAAATACATGTTTTTAACAGCCTTGGCATTGTCCGCAGTCAATCCTGCTACTGACCTTCCATACAAATCCTTAAGATGGTCTGGCATTTTTCTTTTATTATCCTGCAAGTAGTCTGTCTTATCATAGACGTTCTCAAGGCAGACAAAGTAGCTACAAACGTTCCCTTATATAAAGTTTGTGGTTCTGCTGAAAAGTTCATCAGTCTAACAGGTGCTACTTTGTTGCCTTCTATTAAAGTTCTGGCCACTAAACCTCTGTCAGATTCTAAGAAACGGTCAGATGACTCTTCAATACCACATTTTAGTACCTTCTCAAAGACAGGAGGTATAACATTTCCCATGGGGATAATTTCACTGTAAGGTGGGACACTTACATTCTCTGCTAAGGTAATCCTACAACATTCTATTTTTCCGTCAAAAGCAAGTTTTACACGCTTTCCTGTAATGATCATACAAGAGTTTGTCAAATCAATCAAGCATTCATTGTTTGTCATAAAATCAAGACCAAGTATACCATCAACACCAGTGTCTGCTACTGCAAATGTTTGGCTAAACGTTGAGTCCGCTATTGTAAGGGAAATTGAAAGAGACCCTTCCACTTTCATGGCAGTACAATCAGCCATTAGGATTGGCTTGCTCACTTCATTAAGTCTTGGGTGCGGATCATTAAGAACAGAAAGTAGTATGTCTGTTGAAATAATGCTGAGGGTTGCACCAGTATCTACAAGTAGTTTAACCCTATAGCCATTAATAATTGCTTCAATAAATATACCAGCTTCACCAGTCTTTCGACTGATGCCTGTCCTGTTTGCTGTGCTATCCTTTTGCTTAACATTCTGATGTTCATTTCTTACAGGTGCAGACCTTTGTCTTGGGTCGGCACTTGTCATGCCTTGTATCACATTTTTATACTTGAAACAGTTTTTCTTCACAAGACCTTTCTTTTTACAGTAATGACAGGTCACACCAGCAGAGGAAGGCTTTGTAGAGTTTTTTTTCTCCATTCTTATCTTCATAGATTGCGTTTCCTTTTGGATACATTAGGGAAGTAATAGTATCTCCTTTGTCTGCCTTTTCCTCCGGCTTCACCTCCCTCAAATACCCTTTGCTTTCTGTTAAACGTCGTTCAGCTGAATTGAATGCATGTAATTCAACGGCATGCCTGATTGCGTCATTCAAGTCCACTGGCCGGGCTTGTTTAATGCGCAGTCGCATGTCACTTTCCCTCAGGGCATCAATGAACTGTTCTTTTGCCAGAGTTTCTCTCACTTCCAAGGCCAAGTTTGCCAGTCGACGCATGTCCTGTCCAAGTTCTGGTAATGACTCTATAGCCCTTTTCCCACTTTTCCTCAACTGAGCCCTATATAACTCTATCTAGTTGGACGGCAAAAATCTCTCTTCAAGTGCATTACTTAAGAGTCTGTAGTTGCATCTGTCTACCGCTGGTAGATTTTAAAGCACTCTCTGTGATTGACCTCTCAAAGCAACGGCTAAGTACATCCCTCTCTCTCAGCCAGAGTCCACCTGTTCTGTTCTGCACAGACATCGAAGTGGGGCTTAAAATCAGCCCATGACGAACTTCCATCAAATTTATCTGGTTTCACCATGGCGTTTTTCCGTTTGTCAGCCTGTGTAATATTCTCAGGACGGCGTTTTGTAATGTTTGTCTCATTTAGCAAGGGAAACTCGTGTTTGGATGTTTTAGCATGGTATGGTGTGCTCGTAACAGAAAACCTATCTGGCTCGCCATTATCAGTTCTTCTTAAATCGCCAAGATTGTCAGGCCTAGTATACATATTTAGGGTGGTCGTCCTAACAGTTTTTGGTCTTGCGCCCTCACTTGAATCTTGGTCATCAATGGTAGACCGCCTACTTTCGGGTAATCCTGAATCTCTGTCGACCGTCCTTGCTTGACTTTTATTAACACTAGCCTGAAGCCTACTTAACTCCTACTCTAAGGCAGTCATCTCAGCGTTCACAATGTCACTCTCAGACATATCAATAACTTTCAAAAATAAATTACTCGACAAAAATCAACCAAGACAAAAAGGTAACATATATAAACTTTAATGATTGAATGCAACCCCAAATCCACCGCTGCCACCAAATTTTTGTAACGTATTGACAATAAGCACAGGGGTCGTACCTGGTCAATTCCAGGGTTTGGGGTGTTCAACATTAACTGATTAAAAACTGGTATGATTTAAGTGGACTGCCGAAATATACAAATATGTCCTAACCTTATCTAGGTTTGTTTGTATGTTGTTTAACGTCCCTCTCGAGAATTTTTCACTCATATAGAGACGCCACCACTTGCCGGTGGAGAGCTGCAAACTTTGTCCTATACTCGGCACTTATGGCCATTGAGCAGTGAGGGATCTTTTTTCGTGCAAGCACCTACTGCGACACGGGACCTCGGTTTATACGGAAGGACCGGTCTCCACGTCCCACAGTGGGATTCGAACCCGCGACGTAAGGATCAACTCCTTACTCCGCGACTCTAGAGCAGACGCTCTAACCACTGCGCCACGCGGGCCACACCTTATCTAGGTAAACAATAATCAAATGGTAAATCAATATAACAATCGGAGGCAAGCAACAATAAATTATCTGGTAGTCCTAACTTAACACTAAAATAGAGCCCAGTCGCCCTCAGACTACCGCATATACTGTAGGATGCCTTATTTAGGACGGACAGTATATGTGATAGCCCTTCACCCACTACACTCACTGTAGGATGCCTTATTCAGGACGGACAATGAGTATAGCAGCCTGGACAGACTGGTCAGCCAATGCAGACGATATCACAAACTATATTGCTAGCCTCTTTACTGGAGGATAACCTCTTCGTGGCAGGCCTTATATCTGGTTTGTCAAACCTCAAATGACCTTCCAAATTCACTCTCAAACTGTAACACAGGCGATGAATTAATAACCGTAAATACTACACTTACACTCGTCTTCACTGTTCGGCTGGATCTTCACAATAACACACTGAGAAGTCTCAGTATATATACCCTACTAATGTCACGTGATGTCAACAGTGACTAATTGAGAAATCCGCATGGTCGTACCTTAAAATTCCGCAATCATTACATTTTTTCATTCTTTCCCAGACCACTCCCCTTCGGATAAACATTCTTAACAGTCTCCGGCCATCGAACGGATCTGGTAAACAGTGGTAAATGTCATTCTGTAGTTTGATGGGGTGAGTTTTATTGGTGGATTTTTATTCTGTGGTGTGGTGGGATTCGTTTTATGGGTGAATTTTAATTTTATAGTGTGCTGTAATGCCTTTTTATCGGTGCATGTTAATTCTGTGTTGTGTTGGGATGAGTTTTAATGGTTGATTTTAATTCTGTGGTTTGATGTGATAAGTTTTATCGGTTGATTTTAATTTTGTGGTGTGATAAGATGAGTTTTAATGATTTATTTTAATTCTTAGGTGTGATGTAATGAGTTTTATCTGTGGATTTTAATTCTGTAGTGTGATAAAATGAGTTTTATCTGTGCATTTTAATTCCTCGGTGTTATTGGATGAGTTTTATTGGTTGATTTAATTCTGTGGTGTGATTGGATGAGTTTTAACGGCAGATTTTAACTCTATTGTTTGATGTTATGTGTTTTACCGGTGAATTTTCATTCTGTGGTGTGATGGGTTGAGTTTATTGTGCATTTACATTCTGTGGTGTGATTTGATGAGTTTTATAACTGGATTTTAATTCTTAATTCTGTGGTGTGATGGGATGCATGTTATCGGTTGATTTCAATTCTGTGGTGTGATGGGATGAATGTTATCGGTTGATTTTAATTCTGTGGTGTGATGGGATGCATGTTATCGGTTGATTTTAATTCTGTGGTGTGATAAGATGAGTTTTATCAGTGGATTTTAATTCTGTATTGTGATAAGACGAGTTTTATCTGTGTTTTTCATTTTAGAATGATGTGGTTTATTTGATCGTTTTTCCCCCCTTGAAGTATTAAATTTAGTGACCAGAATATATTTTGTATAATTATATAGAATTTCATTTGTGGTGTAATTGAACTGTATTTCATGACTGGTGTTTTTCCTCTATAGTTTGATGTGGTATATTTTACTGGTGATTTACCAGCACATAATGTGTGGAATCAGTCAAGAGATAATCAGCTGAAGGCTCTACAACAATTTACAGATCTAAGCTTGAAATATCTACCAAACAAAACAATCTACAGCTCCCTCGGGAACCACGAGAGTGCTCCTGTCAACAGGTAAACCTCTAGATTACAGCAGATAAATGGCTTAAATTTTATTTTGAACAGGTAAATTGCTTAGTTAACGTACATATTTAAAAGTAAACTAGACATTTTGTATCTCTGAGATTTATCTACACGACATCTGAAGAGTCTGACTGTTGAGATGGAGGTCAGAACAACGTACCTCAGGAAGTCTGTGTTGGCCTCTTAACGATAACAGGCTAGATAAGTAAAACTGATAATATTGAGATCATCCCTGATACATAATATATAAAAATAAATTACACTCTTTCCCAGTTTCCCCCCACCCTACATTAATGACCAAGATGCCATCACCTGGCTCTATGATGCTGTGGCCGATTCCTGGAAGAACTGGTTACCTCAGGAAACGATGACCACCATTAAAAGGTAAGTCAAGAAAACACTAGTATTTCAAAAATACATCGTCAACCATAACAAATTAAGTTCTCAGACCCACTAGCAACTGCTTATCAATGCTATATTCATAATAAGTGTTACTAAAAGTTAAACATTCACAATAAAAAAAAAATGTAGAATGGTTTCATCAATATTGCGTAGTATCCTTCTATCAGAATCCAGTGTAACTGTAAAAAAGCTATTGATGTTAACAACATACTTCATATAAAACAAAATTTTGTAATCATATGTTGTCTGTTACAGAGGAGGATATTACACAGTCAAACTTGGCGACAAGTTCCGCTTGATCTCAATGAATATGAACTACTGCAACAATGGAAATTGGTAAGTCTGAGTAAATATCAGAATTACTCTTATAACTTTGCCTAGTTCTGTGTTAAATAATGCACTATAAATAATGCACTTTCAGGTGGTTGCTGATTAACACAACAGATCCGACAGGTCAGCTACAGTGGCTGGTGGCTACACTGCAACAAGCCGAGGATCAGCAGGAGCTGGTATATATCTACATATACAATGGTTCTAATGACAAGGAAGAAGGGATAAAACATTACTGAATGAATTTGTATCATATTCAGCATTATTACCATTTTATACTAATAGTTGTTGATTTTTGTGTCCTTTAGGTCCATATTATGTCTGTTTTGTAAGAAGTTTTGTCTTTTTTATGTCCTTTATAGGTCCATATTATAGGTCACATACATCCTGGCGGCGGAAGTTGTCTCAAGGCATGGAGCTGGAACTATTACCGAATTGTCAATAGGTCAGTACGCTGGGTACTGTAAAGTACTGGTCAAAGAGTCCTATCTTCATTCACTTAACAATTAAGTCTCTGGGATGTGATTAAACATTACTTCTAATGATGTAACAGATACGAAAACGTAATAGCGGGGCAGTACTTTGGTCACAGCCATACAGACTGGTATGAGGTCTTTTATGATGACGTCACATTTAAACGACCGACCAGTGTTTTATACATCCCCGGAAGTGTCACAACGTTTGCCGATCTCAATCCAGGTTTTAGAATTTATGAGAATGATGGCATTTACAAAGGCAGCACCTGGGTAAGTGTGCAGCGGAAAGTAAAGCAAATATAATCATGGATAAAATCGTCATGATCCTTTGTAACACTGACATGTTTTTCATAATGATTATTCTGGCAAAGTTAATTTGAAACTCTTGCTACAGATTTGATTTAAGTTGATTGCAGGAAATAAATGTGTGTTGTAATAGAATGTGTACAGATTTACTGTAAAGTTTTGTTTTTTGCAGACAACGTTAGATTTTACCAATTACTATCTAAACCTGACAGAAGTTAATCTCACGAATAAACCTCTTTGGCAGAAAGAATACAGTGCTAAGGTAACATTTTAACTTTTTAACTATTTTTAGCACACTTCAACGAAGTTGGTAAGAGCTTATGAAATGCCCTCGGCGTCGGCATCGGTGTCGACGTCCCAGGTTAAAGTTTTTGGAGCATATTTATTTTCAATTACTTCTATGCCCTATATTAATCTTTCCAGTCCACAGTGTAACAATGTAAATGTGATGGGACTTTATAACCATACACAGAGACTGAAGCGTAGTCATGGGCATCGGTCTTACAATAGACCTTTAATACATGATGTCTCTTTTGATTTACTACTACCTTATGTAAATCAACAATTAGGTGTTCATTACATTCTCACCAAACTTTACTCCGTCCCTTTGAAACTTTTAAATAGTCTACTTGAAAAGGTCACGGAAAGTCCATTTTTTGATTCCTGGACACCAGAATACAGGCTCGGATCTGTGGTTATAAATATTGCAAATCACCGGCTTTTTAAACAATCACGTTTTACAGAAGAAAATACTGCTAAAACAACCCGTTTTTTTCCTTTAACTCTTTATGCCAACAAAGGAATTGACGCGGTTAATATAAGTAATATTCTTAATCACAAAAGGGTCCAGTCTTGCATGCCACCATATTTCATCGACGATTGCTTCCAAAGTATTAAATTACAAGAAAATTTTACAGAACCTGGACATTATATATGCATCTGATACATAATCCTCCTTCCTGTTCATGTTCTTAATCATCCTACAACTATAGTCCTGCTGGACATATTATTACTGGTGACGTTAATATAGTAAATAATGAGGACCTGAAATCATTACTTTTAAAAAGGCCAAAATATAGGCTTCAAAATTTCATAGATATTATGGATTCTGTGGAAGATTGCGCCAGGCGATATGGGCCAGACATGAAAAAGAAGACTAAACATGTTGTCAGAATGGATTAAATATATCGGATGTATGTTAAAATCTTGCATTAAGCGATTGAGGGGCAGAATGAAACCAACTATCCTTCTTTGTTCAGTAATTCAGAGTGAAAAAAAGAATTAGATAGATTACACGATCAGTACGTACTGGTCCCTGCTGACGAAGCAGGTAACAACATTACCTTTGTTTGTAAGGCTCATTATTTCAATTGCATTTAGAGGAAATGGGATTTAATTCAACAATAGGTAATCCAGCTTATACCCATAGCTCCCTTTCTAAGGAGGAAATTCTTCAAAATCATATGTCAGTTTTAAATTTTTTTTTATATTCCTGACAACCAACATGAATTTGAATTACCATATCTATATTGGATTCTGAAACTTTATAAAAATCCTTACAAACAAAGATACACAGCGGGTTCCAGTAAATGTTCTACCAAGTCTCTTTCTTTACTCCTCACTAAAATATTAACAGTAGTGAAGGAGAAACTTCAGGAGTAATGTGCAACAATATATTCGAGAAGTGGTGTAAATCAGATGATGATACTTAAAAATTCCAAGGAACTTTTGGAAAATTTGAAATCACAAAATTTTACCAAAATCAACAACATAAAAACTTATGACTTTTCAACTTTATATACAACCATTCCCCATGATAAAAAAAAGTTCAGGCTTTTTAATATCATTGACAGCTGCTTTTTCAATAAAAATGGAACTCGTAATTTTACTTACCTTGTCATTGGTCATTTGCAAAATTATTTTGTTAAAAACAGTCTGATTGTACACACAAGTACTCTGAAGTTGACATTAAAAAGATGCTCGAGTTTCTGATTGACAATATCTATGTGGTTTTTGGAGACCAGGTCTTCCAACAATCTCTTGGAATTTCCATGGGTACCAATTGCGCCCCGTTATTAGCAGACCTATAATTTTGTATTCATATGAAGCAGAATTTGTTTAAAATCTTATACGTGAAAAGAAAAAAACACTTGCTGTGGCCTTCAACTAAACATTTAGATATATCGATGACGTATTGTCAATTAACAATGGTTATTTCCATTCTTATGTCGATACGATATATCCCAGTGAGCTTGAAATAAAAGATACCACAGAGTCTGACACATCCGTTTCATATTTGGATATTTCACTAGAAAAAGACGTTAATGGTAATCTAACAATCAAGCTTTATGATAAACGTGATCAGTATACCTTCATCACCTGCATACGGGGTTTATATCTCTCAGTTGATTCGATACGCAAGAGCATGCTCTACGTATGAACAATTTCTAAAACGAGGTAATTTATTGACAAACAAGTTGATGGAACAAGAATATCAGCAGTCTCGTTTAAAGTCGTCATTTCGTAAGTTCTATGGTCGATGCAATGAACTTGTCAGCAAATACAATTTATCATTAAGTCAAATGCTGGCTGACGTTTTTCATACTAATTGTTAGGCCATTATTTACACACTGAATTGTCAATGGATTTCCCGGGATTTTCCGATTATGACAAGGAGCACAGGCGGGTGTGACCGGTCGGCAGGGGATGCTAACTCCTCCATGGTACCTGATTCCACCTCTGATGTTTAAGATGTCCGTGTTTTCTCTGCTCCAAAATTTGTATTGTTTAATGGACTTTTGAGCTTGAATACTTTTCGTTATCTCCATACAATTTATATGAAAGGTAGATGCTTCTAGTATGTTTTATTGTACCGGTCAAGGTTTCAGATGCTGCAATTTCAGCTAAAGAACAACTTTGCACTGAAGATACATTTATTGATGCACACTACCAGAGTTGCTTTTGATGCTGGATTTGACCTACATTTTCCAGATGAGTTAAGAAATTAAAAGTTTTTGGAGCAGGTCCATGACCAAGAAACTATAAGGCCAACCTGAACCAAACTTGCATGGATGATCCATCAAGGGATGCATTCTACCAAAGTTGCTTAAGATGCTAAATTTGACCTACATTTTCCAGATGAGTGACCAGATCAAAGTTTTGGAGCAGGTCCATGTCCAAGAAACTTTAAGGCCGACCTGAACTAAACTTGCATGGATGATTCATCAAGGGAGCAGGTCCATGACCAAGAAACTATAAGGCCAACCTGAACCAAACTTGCATGGATGATCCATCAAGGGATGCATACTACCAGAGTTGCTTAAGATGCTAAATTTGACCTACATTTTCCAGATGAGTGACCAGATTAAAGTTTTTTGGAGAAGGTCCATGACCAAAAAACTTTAGGGCCGACCTGAACTAAACTTGCATGGATGATTCGTCAAGGGATGCACACTACAATAGTTGCTTCAGATGCTGAATTTGACCTACATTTTCCAGATGCGTGTTCAGATTAAATTTTTGGAGCAGGTCCATTACCAAGAAACTGTAAGGCCTATCTGAACTAAAATTGCATGGATGATGCATCAAGGGATAAATAATCAAAAAACTTGTTTCAGATGCTGGATTTGACTTGCATTTTCTGGATGAATTACTAGTTTTAAGTTTTTTGGTAAGTCCATTAGTTTAATGTGGGACTTTGCCTCACTTAAAGACAACATTCGTTGAGTTGATCGAGCTCTGTAATTTCTGATTACCTAAGTTATATGCTATACCCCGCCGTCTATATCTATACCGTCTATATCGGCGTTGCGTCGGCGTCCCAGGTAAAGTTTTAAGAGCCATTACCAAGTATCAAAAGTATAAGCCCTACTTGGACCAAGACGGTATGAATCAACTGGGAATGCACACCATCAGACACGCTTCTGATACTGAATCAGATCAACATTTTTCAGACGAGTGACCTTGTAAAAGTTTTTTGATTAAGTGCATTCCCATCTAATCGTAAGCCTTTAATGTAGACCATTATTGCATGGATAATGCATCTAGGGATGCACACTACCAGGCTTAAATTGCTTGGGATGCTGGATCTAACCAACATTTTCCAGACGAGTGACCAGATTAAGTTTTTGAGCAAATCCATTCCGAAGTAACTTTAAGACCTACCTGGACAAAACTTGAATGGATGATTGATACAGGGATGCAGACATGCTTCAGATGCTAGATTTGACCTGCATTTGAATACATGTATTTAAAGTTTTCGGAGCAACCAAGTAACTGTAAAGGGTGAAAATAGCAAACAGTGATCAATCTCATAAATGTATAATTCCAACCCAGACCAAACTTGCAGGAATCATTCATCTACGGATGAATATTACCAGAACATTCCTTTGATGAGAGACTTTGCGTTACTTTGAGATAATATTCGTCGAGGTGAACTTTGTTATCTTTGATTACCTTTGTTTATGATGCAGAATTTATTCAAAAACCTTTACATGAGAAGCAAAAAAAATCTTGTTATGGCCTTCAATTCTACATTTAGGTATATTGACAGTGTTTTATCAATTAAAAATGCATTTCTTTTCATTCATATGTTGAGTCGATATACTGAGTATCCCACTAAACTCGAAATAAAAGACACCACAGAACCAGAGAAAGACATTGATGTCAAACTAGCATCCAAAATTTATAATAAACGTGATGACGCCAGCTTTGCTATCGTCAACTTCCCTGATTTATTTAGCAATATACCATTTTTACCTGGTTGTGGGGTTTAAGTCCCCTAGTTTGCAAGAGCATATTCTATGTACGAAGAATGTCTAAACTGAGACAGGCTACTGACAAATAAGTTAATGTTAGAAGGTTATCAACGATCTCGTTTAAACTTTATGGTTGATATAATGACCGTGTTTGTAAAGACAAAATTTAAAACACAAATCATTGAGCCAGGGCTCACGAGGGGGGGGGGGGGGGGTGGACCGGTCAGCAGGGGAAGCTTACTCCTCTTTTCAATCGTGTGTGTCATGTCTGCTCTGCTTTTAATTTGTATTGTTTTATTGGATTACTAAGCATGATTACTATACGTTATCATCATATTCCATTATAACACCGGTTGAGAGCGTATCAACTTGCATGGAAAAATGGAAAGGGTATGTACACTGTAGGTAGAGAGGAATAGCTTACCTTTTGATTTTATGAAGATGAAATGCCTTTCTGTTTACTTCCAGGAAACTTACGATTTGAAAAGTCTGTTTCCGGAGGATTGGAGCGAGCTGATATATAGGATGAAGGCCAATGACACATTATTTCAAACATTTTATAGGTAATATGATTTTTTTATAGGTAATATGATTTTATATTAACAGCCAAGCGAAAATGTAATCTCAATATTTTGGCCACTGTGAAGTTTCAGAAAATATACTGTAGTAGAAGTTTTAAGAAGAACGATTTGTGATAGAAAGGTGGTACATGCAAATACTTTTCTTTGATGATTTGTTGTTGGAGTTTTCCCCCAAAAACTGAAATACAAAATGTATATTAAAATTAGACTTCATTATCAAATACATGGATACATATACCTCTCTCCTCTGGGTGTATCTTTTAAAATACGTCTGGCAATTATTTGGAAATTAATTCTTTACAGACCTAGTACCTGATAATTGTAAAGTTGAAAATTCTTCGCACTTTGAACCTTTATTTTGTACTTTGGTTCTTGTGAACCTTTGATTTAACATAAACTTCTTCCGGCATTATATACCTTAGTCCGAAATATCTGACGCGTTTTCCACCCTTTTTTCACGATTTTGATATTTTACATGTACGTGTCAGGAAAACGTCATAACCGGCGCCATGATGAAAAGTAGAAATTTCTCCTCCCTCAACTAATTTGATTTTCGATACTTGCAAATCGAATTAAATGTCAAATTCACAACTTATCAATAGCACAATGCTTCTAGTTATCACCAATATCGCTTAAAAAAAATATCACTCCACATTTCCATACACGTTTCACGAGTTTTTTCAAAAGGCACGAAAATAAAACAAACCTCGACAGTTTGACAAAATATTTTCACCAGGCACTTTACATTACAAAGGAACGATAAAAAAACGATATAAGTAAGTACTAGAATCATCGTACTGTTGATAAGATGTGAGTTAGACATTTCAGTTCGCATGTATCGAAAATCAACCCGAGAATGCCGTCTCCGGTTGGAGACGGCGAATTTCCACTTTCATAATAGCGCCGGTTCTGACGTTTTCCTGGCACGTAAAATATCAAAATCGTGAAAAAACGCCTGGAAAACGTCAGATATTTCGGACAACATATATTTATACAATGATGAATATAATGTTTATGAATAAGGAACTTATAATGCTGATATTCACAACAGTTTGGTATTGAATGCACAAAAATTAACGCCATGTTTTGCTTGATACATGTAATTGTTCTCTTTTTATTTCATGACAGTAACGTAAATCCTAAAAACAACACCGTACACTCAGAACACACAAGCAACATTTCCAGGCAACACGACCATAAATTTATAAAATTGAATAGGTAGATTGCAATGTAAAGTGAAGAACTCAAATTAGTCTAGTATTTTGAAATATGAAACACTCTATGACAAGTTATTTTTAAAGAATTTAATTGGAATCTCTTGTTTCGAGACACGCGCGGAAATTATTTTACCCTGTGTAAAAATATTTTATTTCTATAATTATACATGTACTTAACATGTTTAATTTTAAGTGGATATCGAGATATTGACACTTCAGTTTAGTATATTTGTTCATTTGATTTAAGCATTAAAACTATGTAAAATGAGATAATGCATGGCGACATTAAAAAATAACTCTTAAGGGCTAATTACGGGGGATAGGTGTAAAGACGTTCTAACCTTCATTATAAAAAAATCCCTTTGCAATGTCAATCTGGGGATCTAACTGTTTGGCTTAAAATCTTAAGTTACAAACTTTATGTGTATATTAAGGAGCTGTTTGGAATATATCCTGGTGTTATTATATGTCTATCTATAGGATCTACGAGGCTCAAAATCTGTCATTCTAAATAGTCTTTTGCTGAGCCCTTTAGCTGCAATATAAACTGTCTTTAAAACATTGCTGTGATGTCATTCCTTTGTTCTTACGGCCTAAAAATTTACCTTTGGCAGTCCGATATTAGCGAGCAGTCTGATATTAATCGTAAGATCGGACTGTCTCAGTACTGATATCCTTCAAAATCGGACTGTTACTGAACAAAAGAAATTAAAACATGATTATTTAGCAAACAGCAATGTTTGATCTTATTGTGTACATAATTATTTTAAAACAGAATATTTTTTACTGGTCATACAGAGTTGGAAAATTAAAAAAATGACTTCCAATTAAAATAATATATACTAAAATAGTAAACTATAAAATAAAACATGAGCTCTTTGAGCTTGTAATGAACTTTTTAGACTTTAAGTGATGTTTTCATCTAGTGTTTAAAATTCAGAAATTCTCTTATTTCTGTTTTTTTTTTATAAAGCAAAGTTGGCTGCTTAATATGTCATTTTAATCATAGTTACAAAAAAAAAAAAAAATATATATATATATATATATATATATATATATATATATATATATATATATATATATATATATATATATATATATATATATATATATATATATCCATTACGCATGCAATCCTTTATGAAGTTATTCTCAATGTCTGTACTTAGAAATTAATATACCTTTAGCATCAGCTTTATTTTCTGTGTTCAGTTCAAATCAAAGTTCCAGTCTGCATTTTCCTTTCAATTCCCAAAAATAGGATTCACTAGACTGTCTTTATCATATTCCAATGCATATTCTGACTTAAGGGTATTTTACCCCTACTCTCTAATCTCAGCAATTACATATATATTACTTAAATATCGTTAATTGTTTAGCTGATTCCAAAAATACTGAGTAGTTTTCATTCAATCATGCACTCTGCAAAGAATTGCTTCATTGGGCATTAATACTTTTGTCTTTTGTTAAAATATTGGACTGTCTCAAGTAAATCAAAAAGCATTGTTTTAAGTACGATATATGCCTCACAGAATTCTTTATGAAAAAATATCAGACATTTTTCGGCCCTAACGGGACTCAAACTGATATTTTTTCACATGCACAGAGCAGTATTCGGCATAAATCCATTACATAAAGGAGCTGAGTGGAAATATCTGGCTTTATGAACTATCATTCCAGAAGTTGGGTGACTTAAGAACGTTGTGTTATAAACTGCATGTCTTTGCCGGAGCTGGGTGACTTTAAATGGTCTACCCAGGAGCTGGGGGCTTTAAGCCTGGCGTTATAAACGGTCTATCCAGGAAGCGGGGGTTTTAAGCCTGGCGTTATAAACGGTCTATCCAGGAAGCTGGGCGACTTAAAGTCATACTTAAAAAAGAGTATCTTTCAGGAACATTGTTGACTTAAGCTTAGTGTTTTGAACTGTTTAGAAGCTGGGTTACTTAAATCCTGGCCTTATATAACAAGATTGAAGTTTTTTTTTTCAGCTATTCAGTATGTTGATTTTTATAAAGGTAAAGCGAGTATAAAAACCTCACTAATATCGCAGAGAAATTTAACTTTTTTTATTACTGATTTTTCTTTCCAGACATTATTACAAGATGGCTCCCACACCGTCATGTACAGGACAGTGTAAAACCGACTTATTGTGTGACCTCAAGTCAGGAAGGTCACATGACCCCAGTTTGTGTACCGACATTCAGTTTTAGTTTCTCATAGAATCAAAACATATAAAGCTATGAGATAGTTTATAGTGACTGGAATTCTTTGTTGTTTTAGAGCAAATACTCATTACATTGTTTAATCATTTTGTTGAATCATTTTGTACACGTTTTTTTTTTTTTATGAATGTACTTTGTATTTTAATGGGATACAGTTCATTTTGTATTTGTTGGAATATTTTTGAAATAAAAAATACATTGTACAAGTATCTTTAATTTCACAAATGGTGGTAATTCTCTAAGTCTTTGACGAGAACATAACTAAAAAGTAGTTAATATTATTCCTTTTTTTCTGAAAAGAAACCTTATTCTACTTTCAGCAATACAAAAACAAAATGAATTTTTAAACTACAGATTTTTTGAAATTTTATTATGTAAAAAAATTTAATTTCATTTTATGAACAATTAACAACACAACAGTTAAATATAGCACATAACAGCAATTATAGCTAGCACCATTATCAATGCTAGCAATTATAGCTAGCACCATTATTGCCCCAAATTAATGACCTTAAACTTATGGCTTCTTCGCAATATGACTCACAGCTTCATTTGGGGACTTTAATGTGTAGTAATAAGAAATTGATTTACATTTTTGTATGAATATACTTTGCTAAATTGAACTGCTAAATTTAATAGAGACAAAACAATGATACTAGTAAGTATTATGCAATATACAGTAAATGTGTAAGTAAATTTAGAATTATTTGAAATAATACATTCAAGATAACATTCATACATCACAACCAATAATTGGTAACATGTTGAATCCTTCATGTAATGTCCTACATCAAGAATCTAAGGTTTGTTTGTGCTTTTCATCATGTGCAATTGTGAAGCAATTTTTATTTAAATGCTCAATGAAGTAAAAATTTATTTTCAGAAATAACTTAAATTTGAAGAAAGAGAATTATCTGGCAGTCAATTATAATTAAGTAATTGGATTGTAAAACACATTAATCATTTTTATGTGAAACAGTAAAATACTCATTTACCTTCACTGAGTTAGTTATAGCTAGTCCTTGTAAATTATAACAATTTTTCACAAATAATTATTTATATTTCATTTTAAACATCAATTACCAAGAATTTTTTAACAAAAATCCTGCAAGTACCTTTATGACTGTGGTCATTTGAGTAATACGAAGGGTTACCTAACAGGTTTACAGGTTTAATTGTGCAAAAATTGTGATAATTCATGTTATCTTGACAGAGAAACCTTGTAGCCACAGTAGCAATTAATAAAAGAAACTAGAAATACGTCCATAGGACATGAATGCCCCGCCGAGGGTATATTTGTAATGCAACAATTTAACACAAATTGAGAAAATTGAGGTCAAGGTCAAAGGAAAGGTCAAGGGGAAAAAATATTAATGCAGTTAAATAGCTTACATCAGTATGTATCAGCATATGAAGTTTGACACTAATTTAAGAAAAGTGAGGTCAAGGTCAAAGGAAATGTCAAGGTAAAAAATTGTTGATGCAGTTGAAAAGGTTACATCAGTATGTATTAGCTTATGAAGTTTGATAAGAATATTATGATGATTTCTTTAAAACTGAGCTAAACACTAATTTAAGAAAAGTGAGGTCAAGGTCAAAGGAAAGGTCAAGGTCAAAAAATGTTGATGCAGTTGAATAGTTCTCATCAGTATGTATCAGCATATGAAGTTTGATAACACTATCTTGAATGTTATCTTTAAAACTGAGCTGAAAACTTATTTAAGAAAAGTGAGGTCAAGGTCAAAGGAAAGGTCAACGTAACAAATATTGATGCAGTTGAATAGCCTACATTAGTATGTATCAACATATGAGAGTTTGATTTCACTATCTTGAATGGTATCTTTAAAACTGAGCTAAACACTAATTTAAGAAAAGTGAGGTCAAGGTCAAAAGAAAGGTCAAGGTCAAAAAATGTTGATGCACTTGAATAGCTTATACCAGTATGTATCAACATATGAAGTTTGATTACATTATCTTGAATGGTATCTTTAAAACTGAGCTAAACACTAATTTAAGAAAAGTAAGGTCAAGGTCAAAGGAAAGGTGAAGGTCAAAAAATGTTGATGCAGTTGCATAGCTCTCATCAATATCTATCAGCATATGAAGTTTGATAAAAATATCTTGGATAGTTTCTTTGAAACTGAGCTTTGAACAGAGCTAAACGCAAAGTGTGACGGAAGGACAGACGGGCTGACAGAAGGACGGAAGGCGGACATGACAAACACTATATGCCCCGGCCATATTCATCTTGAAACTTGAGTAGTCTTTATAAATTCAAAATACTATTTAAACTGGCCTAACATTTTGCTTAAAGCAAAACAATTTCTTGAAATGACAACATTCTGGCAAAGTTTAAAATCAAACACTTCTTTCTGTATACAGGAGGCAGTCTCTTGTAGGGGTAGGGTCTCCCTCTGCTGGTGTTCAAACCTCCCATCTTACTGGTCTTTGTGAATACTGGTCTTTATAATGCCTACATGTCTTTCTTCTGATGTGAGTTAAACCTGTACTTGTTGGTTAGCTCCTGCCTTCTGTTTGTCCTAAGTTTATCTACTACTACCTTAAGTGTTGTGGTAATATTTCCCACGGAAAGGATTAGATGTATAATAGCCAGGAACAAAACCTAAAGGATAAAATATATAATAGAAACAAAACCAAAACAGAAGGGGTTAAATGTATCATAGCCAGGAATAACTCCTAAACAGAAAGGATTAGATGTATAATAGCCAGGAACAAAACCTAAAGGATAAAATATATAACTGTAAACCAACTATTATTCATGTCATCTTTTATTCGCGAATCGTCAGTTTGAAATCAATATGCGACAATTAATTTTCGTGACTGAGGAAATTTTCTCTACCAATAAAAAGCAAAATGATTGGTTTGCAGCGTTTAATATTTGCAAGTTAAAGTAGGTCGCAAAACTCGCGAATATTTCTCATACACAAATAAAAGTTGGTTTACAGTAACAGAAACAAAACCAATAAAAAATTTTCTGTATATTATTTTATCGTAATTATTTACTCTTTCTAATGATGCAAGAATTATTCTGATATTTGCAGTTTTAACGAAGTTATGAATCTTTATTTACACTACACTCGTTTTTCACATCAGACGCATAGAAATGCATATATGCCATGGAAGGGGTTAAATGTATATTAGCCAGGAATAAAGCCTAAACAAAAAGGATCAGATGTATAATAGCCAAGAAAAAAACCTAACTGACTTGTCCAATACAATGGAGATGTGATAGTGTATACTGACCTGTCACTATTTACAGTGGGGATCTAAGTGTATACTGACCTGTCACTCTTTTCATTGGGTATCTAAGTGTATACTGACCTGTCACTCCTTACAATGGGGATCTTGTTATAGTGTATACTGACCTGTCACTCTTTACAATGGGGATCTTGTTATAGTGTATACTGACCTGTCACTCTTTATAATGGAGATCCTGTTATAGTGTATACTGACCTGCCACTCTTTACAATGGGGATCTTGTTATAGTGTATACTGACCTGTCACTCTTTATAATGGAGATCCTGTTATAGTGTATACTGACCTGCCACCCTTTACAATGGGATCTAAGTGTATACTGACCTGTTACTCTTTACAATGGAGATCTAAGTGTATACTGACCTGTCACTCTTTACAATGGGGATCTTGTGATAGTGTATACTGACCTGTCACTCTTTACAATGGGGATCTAAGTGTATACTGACCTGTCACTCTTTACAATGGAGATCTAAGTGTATACTGACCTGTCACTCTTTACAATAGGGATCTTGTGATAGTGTATACTGACCTGCCACCCTTTACAATGGGATCTAAGTGTATACTGACCTGTTACTCTTTACAATGGAGATCTAAGTGTATACTGACCTGTCACTCTTTACAATGGGGATCTTGTGATAGTGTATACTGACCTGTCACTCTTTACAATGGAGATCTTGTAATGGTGTATACTGACCTGTCACTCTTTACAATGGGGATCTTGTGATAGTGTATACTGACCTGTCACTCTTTACAATGGGGATCTAAGAGTATACTGACCTGTTACTCTTTACAATGGAGATCTAAGTGTATACTGACCTGTCACTCTTTACAATGGGGATCTTGTGATAGTGTATACTGACCTGTCACTCTTTACAATGGGGATCTTGTAATAGTGTATACTGACCTGTCACTCTTTACAATGGGGATCTTGTGATAGTGTATACTGACCTGTCACTCTTTACAATGGGGATCTAAGTGTATACTGACCTGTCACTCTTTACAATGGGGATCTTGTGATAGTGTATACTGACCTGTCACTCTTTACAATGGGGATTTAAGTGTATACTGACCTGTCACTCTTTACAATGGGGATCTTGTTATAGTGTATACTAAACTGCCACTCTTTACAATGGAGATCTTGTGATAGTGTATACTGACCTGTCATTCTTTACAATGGGGATCTTGTGACAGTGTATACTGACCTGTCACTCTTTACAATGGGGATCTAAGTGTATACTGACCTGTCACTCTTTACAATGGAGATCTAAGGGTATACTGACCTGTCACTCTTTACAATGGGGATCTTGTGATAGTGTATACTGACCTGTCACTCTTTACAATGGGGATCTTGTAATAGTGTATACTGACCTGTCACTCTTTACAATGGGGATCTTGTGATAGTGTATACTGACCTGTCACTCTTTACAATGGGGATCTTGTGATAGTGTATACTGACCTGTCACTCTTTACAATGGGGATCTAAGTGTATACTGACCTGTCACTCTTTACAATGGGGATCTTGTGATAGTGCACACTGACCCGTCACTCTTTACAATGGGGATTTAAGTGTATACTGACCTGTCACTCTTTACAATGGGGATTTAAGTGTATACTGACCTGTCACTCTTTACAATGGGGATCTTAGTATATACTGACCTGTCACTCTTTACAATGGGGATCTTGTGATAGTGTACACTGACCTGTCACTCTTTACAATGGGGATCTAAGTGTATACTGACCTGTCACTCTTTACAATGGGGATCTTGTGATAGTGTATACTGACCTGTCACTCTTTACAATGGGGATCTTGTAATAGTGTATACTGACCTGCCACCCTTTACAATGGGGATCTAAGTGTATACTGACCTGTTACTCTTTACAATGGGGATCTTGTGATAGTGTATACTGACCTGTCACTGTTTACAATGGGGATCTTGTGATAGTGTATACTGACCTGTCACTCTTTACAATGGGGATCTAAGTGTATACCGACCTGTCACTCTTTATAATGGGGATCTTGTGATAGTGTATACTGACCTGTTACTCTTTACAATGGGGATCTTAGTGTATACTGACCTGTCATTCTTTACAATGGAGATCTTGTTATAGTGTATCCTGACCTGTTACCCTTTACAATGGAGATCTTTATAATAGTGTTTACTGACCTGTCACTCTTTACAATGGGGATCTAAGTGTATACTGACCTGCCATTCTTTACAATGGGGATCTTAGTGTATATGACCTGTCACTCTTTACAATGGGGATCTAAGTGTATACTGATCTGTCACTCTTTACAATGGGATCTAAGTGTATACTGACCTGTCACTCTTTACAATGGTATCTAAGTGTATACTGACCTGTCACTCTTTATAATGGGGATCTAAGTGTATTCTGACCTGTCACTCTTTATAATGGGGATCTAATTGTATACTGACCTGTCACTCTTTACAATGGGGATCTTGTGTATTGTGTATACTGTGTGATTGTGTATACTGACCTGTGACTCGTTACAATGGGGATCTTTGTGTATACTGACCTGTGACTCTTTACAATGGGGATCTTGTGATAGTGTATACTGACCTGTGACTCTTTACAATGGGGATCTTTAATAGTGTATACTGACCTGTCATTCTTTACAATGATGATCTTGTGACTGTGTATATTGACCTGCCACTCTTTACAATGGGATTTTATTAAGAATTTTTTAAATAATAAAACTTTTAAAGTGCGATTAGGAACTACAGTTTCAGACAATTTTGAACAAGAAATGGGTGTACCACAAGGAAGTATCCTTTCAGTCACATTATTCAGCATTAAAATAAATAGTTTGGCTGAAGTACTTAAAAATGATATGGATGGTAGTTTATATGTTGATGACTTTGTTCTGTGTTATAAGTCTAAAAATATGAATTTTATTGAGCGGCAGTTACAATCATGTCTAAACAAAATTCAAAATTGGGCCGATACTAATGGTTTTAAATTTTCAATGAATAAAACTGCGTGTGTACATTTTTGTTTAAAGCGGAAAAGCCATGATGATCCGAATTTGCAATTAAATGGAAATCCAATAAATGTAGTTAAAGAAATAAAGTTTTTAGGTGTCATTTTTGATAATAAACTCTCTTTTATTCCACACATAAAGATGCTCAAAGAAAAATGTTTAAAGGCACTCGATATTATTAAAGTAATAGCAAACACAAAATGGGGAGCTGATAAAAGTACTCTACTTAAACTCTATCGCTCTCTAGTAAGATCAAAATTAGACTATGGGTGTATTGTGTATGGATCAGCTAGGATTTCCTATATAAAAGCTCTTGACGCAATCCACCATCAAGGTCTTAGATTGTGCTTGGGGGATTTTAGAACTTCTCCTGAAGATAGTATATATGTAGAGGCAAATGAACCACCTCTAGACTTGAGAAGAATTAAACTTGCTTTACAATATATAATTAAATTAAAAGCAAATACCGATAATTCTGCTCATGACTGTGTTTTTCATCCACAAAATGCACATTTATATGATAAAAACAAGAAATGCATAAAACCACTTTGTTTCCGATATAAAAATCATATAAGAGATTCCGAACTACCATCGGATATTGTAAAACCTTCTACTCTTTCTGAAATACCACCATGGAAATTAATTAAACCAGTAGTGAATAAATCTTTATCAGATCTTAAGAAATCAGAAACAAATCCTCTCATTTTTCAACAGAAATTAGCTGAAATAAAATCTAAACATCCTTCAAGAGAAATTTACACAGATGGTTCTAAGGACAGAGGCAGGGTTGCTGCTGCTGCAGTGGTCAAAAATGATGTTTTTTCTACACGACTTCCGAATGAAGCAACAATTTTTACGGCCGAAGCAAAAGCTATACAACTTGCTTTTGAATATATAAGAACTTCTAGTGAAAATTCATTTACAATATTTTCAGACTCGCTCTCATGTTTAGAGTCCATACACAATATGAACACAAATCACCTATACATTTTGGATATATTAACTAAGTTCTATCATCTTACTCAACAAGGCAAAGAAGTCGAATTTTGTTGGATTCTGAGTCACATTGGTATTTCGGGTAATTACATGGCCGATAGTTCTGCAAAAACTGCTCTTCAGTATGAAATTGTACCTTTTAAAATTCCTTACACTGATCTTAGGTACTTGGTGAAACTTTACGAAAATTCCCTTTGGCAAATATTTTGGGATTTTTGTGATAATAGCAAACTTTATACCATACAAAACAAAGTTAATCAATCATCTGACTTTGGCCTGAAACGTCAGGACGAAGTCATTTTTTCAAGAATAAGAATTGGACATTCAAGGTTTACCCATTCATATTTACTGAGCGGGGAACATCAACCTGAATGCATATCTTGTGACTGTGATTGATTGTATATTGTTTTACGTCCCATTCGAGAATTTTTCACTCATATAGAGACGTCACCATATACCGGTGAAGGGCTTCAAATTTTGACCTTTACTCGGCACTCAGGGCCATTGAGCAGTGAGGGATCTTTATCGTGCCAACGCCTGCCGTGACACGGGGCCTCGGTTTTTAAGGTCTCATCCGAAAGACCCGCAACTTTCACTCCAAAGTGCCGAGCGCATGGCGAAGGAACAGTTGTAACCTATTTTTTATCGACTTAGGTCTGTCGCGGCCGAGATTCGAACTCAGGACCTCCCGATCACGGAGCGAGCGCTCTACCGACTGAGCTACCGTGAACGGTCTTGTGACTGTGTAATAACTATAAACCATATACTTTTAGAATGCTCTGATTTTACCCCTGTTCGAAATAAACTTTTTAATGGCGTGTAAACAATGCATGATCTTTTTACAAATGTAAATCCTAGTGCAATTTTACAATACTTGCAAGAAACTGATTTTTACAATAAGATTTAAATGTATATATTTTTATTAGCATTTTTGTAATTTTCAATTTAACTGTTTTTATTTTTTAATTCCAAGTCCGTCGGATGGGACGTAAAACGGTGCCTCGTGTCAAGGATTACAACCCCCTTGGCACGTTTAAGATCGTTTCTCTGGTTTTCGAAAAAGAGTATAGGCTCATTGGGGGCCGCCAGAGAAACCCAAAAACTCTCAAAACCGTTCATACAGTATTTAATTCATACCGCCGAAATATGGCTGAAATATTGCCGACTTGGCGTAAAACAACAATAATCAATCAATCATCTTTACAATGGGATCTAAGTGTATACTGACCTGTCACTCTTTACAATGGGGATTTTGTGATAGTGTATACTGACCTGTCACTCTTTACAATGGGGATCTTAGTGTATACTGACCTGCCACTCTTTACAATGGGGATCTTGTGATAGTCTATACAGTACATAGGCATTGTACAATTGGAAGAACTGAAAGAATATGAAAATTCTATTTGAAAGAGAAACAGTCATTAGAAAATAAAATAAAACTTCAACAGCAAATAGAATGATAGTAATTCTGTAAAGACCAATTTCTTATTCAACTAGAAAACAGTAATTTGTAGAAACTTGATGTCTCATTCAGACAAGAAGAATCTTGGGGGGGATTAGACGGGCCAGATGCCCATGCCCATTTGTGGCTATGCATGTACGTATATCCAAAATATCTCAATTGCACGAATTTCCTAGGCATTTAATATACTGTATACTGATTTGAACACTTTCCTCAATAAACATCAATTTAAGCTCTTTCCTGACCACTACACCATGCAGTCACATACATGTGTATATGAGGCTATTTAGAAAGCAAACAGTTCTTCGTATTTAGCAAGCATATTTGGACTTATAATTTCTTTTAGACTATGATGATAATTTAAGTAAATAAACTTATTTTTTTGTGTAGAGTGGGTCTTTGTACCAAATTTTTGCAAGTGTAAAAAGAAGCATCTTTCCATTGCCTTTCATTATTCATTTTCCAAAAATTGGAGTGATGACCCACTCTATTAAAAAAATGTACTCATAGCATTTAATTTATGTCAGATTTTGTATGTGATTGATAATAAACATTACCTAAATTTAACCAAATTTAACTAAATTTATCAAAAAGTGGAACTTGTGAGAAAAAAATATATTGATTTTATATCCATTGTTATGTAGGCATATGGCTCAGCCTATCCCCCAATTTCTTTCCAACTACAGAAATTTATTGTGTAGAGGCTTGGTACTAATATAGCTATTCCTTAAACAGTAAAGAAAAAATCTAATGTGTTTCATAGGTTAAACACAGACTAACAACGTTCTTAGCCAGTTAATAGGACAGTAATTCTAAACAGTAATTCTAGAGTTTTTCAGCTGACACAGATTAACTTGACAAGTAACTAACAGTGTTTCTCGACACGTTTTAGAGGTGACAGAAACTTAATTAGTAAATTATTATTTTAAATGCTGACACAAGATTTATTTAGCCTGTTAGTAGACAGCCATTTTGATGTTTTATACGTGAGACATAGACTTCTGAAGTGTTTTGAGAAAGGACATAAACTTACATAACCAGCAAACAGGAATGGCAGCAAAAATGAGATCCCCTTCCACATCCAGGACATGAAACCCTCTGTAATACAAAGGAATGGACAAATGTATTTGAGCATCTCTAAAAATATATACCAACTAGTATGTAATTTAGTATAATAAAACTCTGAGACCCTTCCTGAAAATAGGTGATCTCAGATTACAAAGCTCATGAAAATAAATGTACATGTAATATACATGTATTTATGTATACAGAATGCATCACAAATCAGATGCTGATCCCTCTCCAAAAACTTAGACCATGAAAATGTAGATCAGATCCAGCATCCAAAGTAAATCTGTTGTTGTGGATCACTAGATGCAAGACTGGTAATCATAGGGCTTATACATGTAATTACTTGTGACTGAGACCTGTTCTAAAAACTTTAACCTGCTCCAGAAACCTTCACCTAGTCACTCATCCAGAATATGTAGGTCAGAGCCAGCATCCGAAGTAAGTCTGGTAGTGTACATCCTTAAATGCATCATCCAAGCAAGTTTGAGCTTTATAATTACTTAGGAATGGGCTTGCTCCTGAAACTCCAACACAGATGCTGTGGGTTTAGCAAAAGCTCATCTCAAATTCATCATGGTAAGTTTAAAATATACATAAAAGTAAGATACAGCACATGTACATGTAATATGACTGGAATAGGTATCCCTAGATGAACCATCCAGGTAAATACAGTAAGGCTTATAGTGACTTGGGAATAAGAAAGTTAAATCCCTGCGTCTACTCCACACTCACCAACAGTAATATCCATATCATGGCGCTGACCCAGTGCCCTCAATCTATATAGCGCCCCCTTCTGGTAGAAAAACTGAACTATATATAGAAAACCTGAAAAAAATAAGGACAGAATTTAGGTTCAATGATCAGATCTAAGTATAGTCAAAATCATTCAGTGATGCTTTCATTAAAGCATAACATTTTCAGTCATTGTAATTTCTCTTTTTACTAAAAACACAAAAAAAGAATCTACAGTGGCCTTGACTGTTGATCCAGGAGTCATGCATTTCATAATTTAGTGAAAGACTTAGTTTCAAATAAGAACTGAGAATGTTCAAGAATTACAGAGGATGGATAATTTACTGAAAAATAGATCATTGTCTACTACAATGTGAAAATTAGATTATTGTCTACTATAATGTGAAAATTAGATCACTGTCTACTATAATGTGAAAATTAGATTATTGTCTACTATAATGTGAAAATTACATCACTGTCTACTTATAATGTGAAAATTAGATCGTTGTCTACTATAATGTGAAAATTAGATCATTTTCTATTATAATGTGAAAACTAGATCACTGTCTACTATAATGTGAAAATTAGATCACTGTCTACTACAATGTGAAAATTAGATCATTGTCTACTATAATGTGAAAATTAGATCACTGTCCACTATAATGTGAAAATTAGATCATTGTCTACTATAATGTGAAAATGTTATAGTCAATAGTTTTTTTTTACTCAAAATAAAAATATATGTAATGTACCAAATATGATTCACAGGCCAAACTGAATTGTAGTTTGACTATTTCCAAAGCTCTGAGCATGAGCCAGTTAGTCTCTAAACTAGAGGCTAATTTTGAATAACCCAAAGACTAATGGTTAATTTTGACTGGTCTCTGGATCAATGACTAGCGTTGAAGACTGTATATGTCAGCTTTCACTTTTATTTCACACATATCATGTCCTTCACCAAGTTGTACATCATAGCTAGAATTAAGAATGTTAATTATTTACTTACTAAGATAGCTGCTAAACATTAAATATTGGCCTCTAAAGTATTTGTAGGTATAGCTGTCTGGCCTGGAAAAAAAATTCACTGTATATAATAACTGTACATCATGATACATATCTCACTGTATGTAATAACTGTACATCATGATACGTATCTCACTGTATGTAATAACTGTACATCATGATACATATCTCACTGTATATAATAACTGTACATCATGATACATATCTCACTGTATATAATAACTGTACATCATGATACGTATCTCACTGTATGTAATAACTGTACATCATGATACATATCTCACTGTATATAATAACTGTACATCATGATACATATCTCACTGTATGTAATAACTGTACATCATGATACATATCTCACTGTATGTAATAACTGTACATCATGATACATATCTCACTGTATATAATAACTGTACATCATGATACATATCTCACTGTATGTAATAACTGTACATCATGATACATATCTCACTGTATATAATAACTGTACATCATGATACATATCTCACTGTATGTAATAACTGTACATCATGATACATATCTCACTGTATATAATAACTGTACATCATGATACATATCTCACTGTATGTAATAACTGTACATCATGATACATATCTCACTGTATATAATAACTGTACATCATGATACATATCTCACTGTATGTAATAACTGTACATCATGATACATATCTCACTGTATATAATAACTGTACATCATGATACATATCTCACTGTATGTAATAATATACTATTAATACAAGAAAAACCGAATGACTATAATCCATGACTAAATTACAGATACATATCATCTAAATGATCATTGAATCCCCATTTTCCCACAAGCAAAAAAACTCCCATTGCAGACCAAGTCAGATCCTTATTGAAAAAATGTCTATTCTAGTATACTGTTAACTTTAATAAAGGTTACAACAGCTTGTCATATTTGATAAATTGTCAGGGTAGGGTTTCCATAGAAACTAGAAGGAATGTCCCTTGATAAAATCTAATCAGCACATAGATGTTGTTGGTATGTTTTCAATATCTGTCAGGCCAGTAAGCTCAGTTTTAACTGTAGACTACTTGTACAGTGATATGGTCAACATAGGCATTTTTTATCATATATAAATTTTCATCATAGAATTAGAAGTTACCATATAAGGGTCAGTCCTGCACAAACTGTGGATATGAAGTGATGAGTCACCCACCAACCTTTAATTCTAAAAATAAGAAAATGACATCTAATGTTACCATCTTATGTAACCAATTTATGCAAAAAATAGTGAACAAACATACATACCATTTTACTATCTTTTCCAAAAACTGTCAATTTACTAACTGATTATACTGGAGTTAATGATCACAATGATGAACGTTTCCTGCACTAGTCTTGAAAACCCCATTGAGAAAGATTTTGTTTTCAAAATAATCAAATCTTGAGTCACTGACATTGAAAATGTTCTTAGTTGTAAATTCACCATATGTAGATATGTTGAACTGGCATAATATTTTTTCTTTATTTTTTTTTCTATAAGTATATAAAATGATCATACCTGGACCCATTGACCATGAGGATGTTTTCTCTAATAGTCAGTGTGCAGTAATACCAGACCAAGAGAAAATGCAGAACAGCATCGAACCACCTAAAAAAATGCACAGCATTAAACCAACTATAGATAACAACTTTGTCATCTCAATTTGGATATTTCTGAAAATTTTACAAATAATTACTAATAAATAATAATTTCCTCTTGAAAATTATAAATGTAAAAGAAAATTTTCAGTCAAAAACTTAGCCAATATTTCTTCTGTAATTACAGTGTAGGTATTGCTACATTTTCTACTTATACATCAGGGATCAACATTAACGGTTGTCCGAATGCCCGGGACAAGTAAATTCTCAATTCGGGCAAGTGAATTGTCAACATACTTGTCCGATCGGGCAAGTGAATTTTTTTCATACAAATGTACATATTTATTTAGTTTACATTAATTTATAAATAAAACAATAAATTGAACACTTGATTCCCGCCACGCACCTGACTGACAATGCTTTTGCATTCAAAATTCCTTGGTAGCATTTCTGCTGGATTATATACCGTTCATTTAAAATTTGAGTTCATTGTTTTCTTTCGTAGGAAATACGCTCTACGTCTAACAAAATTTTATTAACTTATTAGGAAATTAGATTTTTCACGCACAGAATATAAGTACAGTGTAACACGTTGTATCCTGATCAAGGTAAGATGTATGTTTCGTAGCAACTATCTTCCTTAAGCGTTGCTTCACAGTTATCGCCGAAAATCACGAATCACAGAATGATCCTACCGCAAATAATTTTCAAAAATATGATTTTTTTTTAAAGGAAACGGAGGGTTATTGCCGCATGGCAGTGTGTGTTAACAGGTTAAATAATGTACAAATGCAGGATCAAAATTTTTTTAAGGTACCCGGTAGCTCAACTTGCCAAATTGACAGTTGTGTATTTCTTCATATTTGTTCTTTTCAAAACGTTTGCAGTAATTAATAATTTTCGCTTTAAGTTCCATCCTAATTTTGGGCAACCAAGTTTTGCATTCGGACAAGTAAAAGTTTGAGATCACTTGCCCGAAGGGCAAGTGAATCTGAAAGTTAATGTCCATCCCTGTACATGTATATTAAATATAGTGCCTGGTGTAAATAAATTTAGAGCTAACCTGTAGGCTGTCAATAAATTTAGAACTGACCTGTACTCTGTGACAAACATAAGGACTAGGGACAAGGCCAGGCTTATATAGCTCACTGTAGCTTTGAATGTCTCGTAATTATGTTTGTAGGCATACCTAAAGGAAAATAGCACATAAAATTGAACTGAAATTTACAATGTTTATATATAAGAAACTCATTAAAGCTGGAAATTGATACGATGTATTGTGAATTTGAATCTGTAGGCTTTGATTTTGAAATCAAACAAAAAGTCATAGGATTAGCACTTTGAAGCTTAGATCTATAGTTAACAGAGTTCCGACGGCTACACAGACAGCCCTCAGTCCTTTTGATCTATGAGGTCACTTTTAAAATTTGTCTGTTTGCCCTCTCCTGATTGACTGACTAAAAATGTCCCCCCCCCCCCCCCCTTGAAACTTTCTTAAATCTCTAGAAAACAATATTTTGAATACATTCCGGAATTTTCTCATCCAGTCAACAACCTTCAATTTCAATAAATTTAAAAAGCATGTAGGAAATAGTTTACAAATGACCATGACCTTGCAAGATTTCAAGAAAAAATAACTGATAACGGAAATTAATCATCTTACTGTAAAGATTATACAATCATCTTACTGTAAAGATTATACAATCATCTTACTGTAAAGATTATACAATCATCTTACTGTAAAGATTATACAATCATCTTACTGTAAAGATTATACAATCAAGGAAACTGAATATAGTATCATAAAAATAACCACATTCAGTAATTTTAAAAAAGACTTACTTTTCCTCCTTATTGAGAAGAGACACACTGACAGATCCCAGGATAATACTCAGGTATATCCTACAGAAAAAGGAAAGAGATTTGATATATATATATATGCAAATCTAACAAAGTGTTCTGTGTTATAATTACAATGCATAACATTTCACATGCTAAAATACAATGATACATACATCACTAAATCAAATCAAATTTTCACAAGTGTATAAATAGTAGGGCTGGGACGATATATCGAGATATCGATAATATCGATTCAATGTGAGGATGATACGCATATCGATACATATGAAGAAATATCGACATATCGCCCAAAAAATTCTGACTAATGTTTTTCTTTGTTTACTTAACATTTTGGGTTTAATATGTAAAATAAATATGCTTAATATAAATCTAAATATGAAATACATAATAATTAAGACCACTTGTGCAAAATAATTATGTTTTACAACAGATATACAACTTCTTTGAATAAATTATTCTTATATGTGAAGAAATGTTTTGTTCACTTCAATATAAAAAAAGGATTTATAACCAATTAAACATATCGTGATACATATCGTATCGTGGCTCAAATATCGGGATACATATCGATATAGAAAAAGTTGTATCGTCCCAGCCCTAATAAATAGTACTGATTAGAATGTCAAAACATAACGACCAGATCAACCTTCCTAACAGCTGACTTCTTTACACCTATTTATCCATTTTTGTGACACCCTTTACCCGTTTTTGTGACACCCTTTACCCGTTTTTGTGACACCCTATACCAGTTTTTTTTTGTGTGTGACACTCTTTACCTGTTTTTGTGACACCCTTTCTCATTTCTTGTGACACCCTTTACCCGTTTTTGTGACACCCTTTACCCGTTTTTGTGACATCCTTTACCCATTTTTGTGACACCCTTTACTCATTTCTTGTGACACCCTTTACCCGTTTTTGTGACACCCTATACCAGTTTTTTTTTTTTTTTGTGACACTCTTTACCTGTTTTTGTGACACCCTTTACTCATTTCTTGTGACATCCTTTACCCATTTTTGTGACACCCTTTACTCATTTCTTGTGACACCCTTTACCCATTTTTGTGTGGTAAGAACTCCTCCATTTCTCTGAACTGGGATTTCCTCTGTTGCATTTCCAATCTCAACTGTTTAAGTGCATCCTCCGTCTCTGGTTTGGATTTTTCTTTTATTCTGAAAAATTCAAGATCATCATATTCTGGCCAATATCATACACAAGTATCAAGTGCTATATAAACTGAACAACTCAGTCATAAAATGTCAGGCCTGAAGGAAGTGTGTGCATGTTGGGGGGGGGGGGGGTAATTTTTCCTGTCTATAGGTATAATACTATATAGAAAACAAAGCTAATTTATGGCTTTACCACCTAAAAAATAACACCTGGCCTTTTTTGCTTGTCATGAATTTCTGTTGACGTGTGCCCCCCCCCCCCCCCCCCCCCTTTAATCCCAGAGATCAGTCTATTTATAGATATATAGATACAATTGAACTTCGTATCTCAAACACCGATATCTTGAATACAGTGGATACCCTGAAGTGATTTGGAAGTCCCAACCACCCACTCTTTAAGTATTTTATCCTTGATATCTTGAATCCTTGGATATCTAAAATAATTTTCTTGGTCCTTTCAAACCGTCAAGGTATCTCAGTCGGTTGAGCGCTCGATTCGTGATCGGAAGGTCGAGAATTTTCAATCTCGTCCACGACTGACCTAAGTAGATAAAAAATAGGTAGCAACTGTTCCTTCGCCTTGCACTCGGCACTTTGAAGTGAAAGTTGCTGGTCCTTCGGATGAGACCTTAAAAACCAAGGCCCCGTGTCACAGCAGGCATTGGCACGATAAAGATCCCTCACTGCCCCTGAGTGCTGAGTAAAGGTCTAAATTTGAAGCCCTTCACTGGTATATGGTGACGTCTCTATATGAGTGAAAAATTCTCGAATGGGACGTAAAACATTATACAAATAATCTATCAACTGGTCCCTTCAAGTTCGAAATACAGAGGTTTGACTGCATATATATTCATGATATACAAGCCAGCCTATAAATAATCCCATAGATCTGTTTATATATAATCCCACACACCAACATATATAAAATCCCATAGATCAGCTATATATATAATCCCATAAATCTGTTTATATATAATCAAACACATCAACATATTTACAATCCCAGAGATCAACCTACAGATGTACCTATTCATCTTTTCACTTATCTGCTTCATTCGATACCGATGGTGAGCAATTCCCGATAGACATTTTTTCTGGGCATCCCATAATTCCTCAAGCACTTTCTTGTAATGGTCATGTGTAGCCTATAATTAAAAAAATGTAAAATACAAATTAATTCAGCTAGGAATCTTCTCCATATGTGTCTGACTGCCAAAATACTTATGGACCTTAATCATGCTTAATGGTCACCAGTGCAATATTTTCTAGATATAAAACCTAGATACATCTGACTTTAATTTATAAACAAGCCATTTATGCTTCATTAGAGCAATTTTTATAGCCTAGAAATAAATTAGATACAATTCTATCACAGTAATACTAACTTTCTGTCCTGGAATCAGTTGTAGACATGATATTGTGGCCAACAGTATCCTCTTTGTCAGACATGACCTTTAATGCATCTTTGTTTATAATGTATAGCCAGAAGTAGAACTTCATGATCACATTTCTGATTACCTTGACCTGGTCCAAAATGACCTTGAGGTAATAGCTCTCATATTACTTCTGACAACCTTTGTTAAATATGAGTATGATGATATTGGTATTTATACTTTATGAGAGATAGATATTTTAGGGTGTAATGGATTTCCATAGTGGTGCCCATGGTTTATTTAAAATAAGTTTTAGAAATCTGAGTTCGGTGTGTGTCTATTATTCAGTCTGAAGATGAAGACTCCATTAAAAGCAGAATATTTCAAACATCAAAAAAGACATGGGCTGATGTTCCGAAGAGAGAGAAAGGACATCAAACATCATAAGGGTGCCTACAAAAAAGACAAGGGCTGATGTTGCAATGAGAGAGGGAGGACTATTACCAAAGAGGTAAATAATGCCATCCATCAAAAATCATTCAAACAATGATGACAGGGGCTTTCAAATATAAATAAATACTAAGGACAGAAAAAGAAAAAAATTGCACTTCATGACCAAGGATTAAATGATGTGTAACACTTTTAATTAAAGGCAAAGATTACCTGCAGCCTGAAGAAGGGAAAATGATTTAGTGATACATGTACCGGTAATTTGTATCTGTATGATATAGATTTAGTAATAATTTGTATCATTATTGTATAAAAGAGACCTCAGACTGAAAATTGGGTTAGGAAAGGGTAAGCACACATATTTTTAATTTTTATTAGACTGGCAGCCAAGTGAGAGGCTGTTATATTCATACTGGGGGGGGGGGGGTCCTGCCAGTATTAACATGTTGAAAATTCTTTTGGAAAAATTTTAACATAGTTAATTTTGAGAATTGTATATTGCTTGTATTTAAGTTTTACAATTTAGGGATAAGATAAATCTATTACAGGACACTAGGGAGATCTGTGGACTTGTGTACTAGAGGCCTGGTCAACTGAGCGAGTGCTTGCGAACATTTCTGTTGGAGGGATAAGGAATTTTGGCGAGGGCTCGCGAACGTTCGCTCTGTTGAACAGGCCTCAGGTTAACTGGACAGTGTGTTGAGTTGAGTATGTGAGATCAGCAGGAGGGATTGTGTGTGGAAGAGAACCTCTATATATGTAAAGTTTGTAAACTATGTAACAGTGTGTGAGGCTCATAGCAGTGTGATACCAAGACCTTGAGGAATAAGGGTGGTTGGAATTCTGGAGAGTCTTGTGTCTCTAGGTTGTGTGATGGTGCAGGAGATTGGTAATCGTGATGTTTTTTAAACTTTGACACATTTTGCTTTTGTTGGTATGTTTTTTTTTGTTTTGACTGGATGAAAAGTAAATAGTTTTCATACATACATATGATTGCTGAAATTAACATAAACATACTTTTGTAGACTAAAGGAATTAAAAATTTTCAAAACATGCTTTAATTTCATTTAAAGACAAAATTTTGTTTTGTAAAACTAAAATATGGTTATCTGTTTCTAAAAACCTTTAAGAACCCCTAGACCCTCAAAACCCTCAAATGCTTAAGTCTCAATCTATATGAATATGTATGATACCTAATTTACATGCATTTATAGGCATATGATCATTAATATTTGTATACTACATAAAATCCAAACCCTGTGATAAAAACGATATTGTGTAAACTGTTAACTACCTGTACCCTATAAACAGGAACAGACATATATATACAGTCCAGAAAGTAAACTGTAGGTTAGCTGTCTAGACAAACTCCCGAAATGGAGTGAACACCAAAAACCTAGTCACTGGCTCCATCAGGCATTGCAGCAAATAGTATATACATGGCATATCCGATGTAAACAAGAAAATGGATTGTCATTAGCTTCCTCAATAAAATACCCCAAACAAACAAAAAACGGCTATATGGCTCTATTTAGTACATTGTGACTATATTTTTATTTTTTTGAAATAAATATACTTATTAAATTATTTTTGTAGATATTGACTAATTTATCATAATCGTGATTTGGATACATGACTTTGAATTCATGAGTACTTTAGGTAAGAATTATTTTCTTAATTAATTTACTGTCTCCTTGATTTTAACTCTATGTCCATTCCTGCAATATAAATGATTTATTGATATTGTAGGCACCCAGATTGTATTTTAAATTGAACAGAAAATGCTTTTTTTATTAACTGCATAGCAAACATGCACATTAACGGGTTCATTTTAAGACTTTTTTTTATTTGAGTGACTTTTTAAAGTTTCAAACCATTGGATATTAAAGGTAAAAACATGTTTTAATGGTTATATATCTGTTCATATGTAATACAAAAATAGGTAACAGTGTGGAGAACTTAATTCAGGTGTAGAGTGTATTATGAAAACCCTGAAACACTAATTAAAGCCAGTTTTTAACATTTACAACCTAAATTGGGGAAGTTTCTAGTATGCCGGTCAGTTATTTATATGCATATTTATAGGGACCGGTATACTAGAAGTGTTCCCGTAAATTGTTCCATTATGCATATTTTACCCTTTTATTAACTTGGTAACTTCTTAAAGTTGTTAAATTTAATATAATCGTTATCTTGTAAAATGTCACCTTTTTAAAGTGAATAACTTTTTTTTTTTGCAAATACAATTGAAAATCTAACAAATACAATCTCTTTCAAAGACTTTTATGTAGCATTATAGAGTACTGACATGATTGCCAGATTTTCCACCTCTTTGCATGAGCAGTTTTTGTAGACCCATGATTTTTGCCAAAAAATCAACATTTTTGTGTTTGTGCGCATGTGCGGACTCTAATTTCAGCATAATTTTTAGTATAAAATTCTTATTTCAGGTAACTCTGTGTAGGGGGTTTGTCTAAACTGGTTAGTTCACAGTGAAACCACCTGAACTGAGAAAACCATGAGCAAACATTAAATAGAGGAAGTACTGAGTGAACAGTCAGCAAAAAGGAAGAATACTGAACCATCTCAACGAGCATAATACCAAACTATTCCTTGTATTAAAGAATGTAGGAATCTCAATTCTATGATATTAAATTTCTACTGCTACTTCTACCATGTTGCGACCGCCATCAATAACTGATGATTCTGTCACTTTTTGGTGTGTGCTGCTTGACAATTTTGGTCAGATGTATATTGTAAATAATTTAGCTGTCACACTCAAACCCTGTCTGAACGTTTAATATACGTCACCAATTTATCAATTTTAAGCCAATAACATTTACAGTTTATCACCCAAGCCTACAAGTCGCTTCTTGGTTTCATGTTCTTCTCATATTCATTTCGAGAAAATTCGGTCTGTACCTCTGTACGACACACGACACATAACATTATCTGAATCAGTGAAACCATTCTCATATATCTTTTACCTCGAGCTGTGTAAACTCTTTGTTGAGTTCACTCCAGTCTTCCAAGCAAGACTTTAAATTTGCTTCTCCTTCCAACAAACCCTCATCCATCGTCGTCTGGTTAATAAAGTCCAATGAACTCCGAAAACGTGTCCAGCCAGCAAGGTGAAGGTTATTTTACTTCTAAATCACACAGTATGCAGAGTGCTTGATTATCAAGATAAATTTTCTGCCAAAAGGGGAAATCATATTTATTTTATATGGAAAAGAAAAAAAATCATTCAAAAAATCGATTAAGATGCCCAAATGAAAATATCACTTTATATTTATTTAAATATTGCACAAGGGAAATATGTGACCGCGTGGCCTAATGGATAAGGCGTCCGACTTCGGATCGGAAGATTGCGAGTTCGAGTCTCGTCGTGGTCGGATGGAACTGTTTTTTCTGTTGTACTTTGAAGATTATTTATTTTATAATTATAATGTTTTCTCCCTAACCTACCTGAAAAAAAATAGATTCACGGATAGGTATATATAATATTTAATAACATGTCTTGGTAATACCTAAAATACATTGTATAAGGAAATTGTAGACTTTCTACCTTTTCCCATCACTCATTAATTTTCTATATTATGCATATTTATTTATTATTCCAAATCGGGGCCCTTTTGAGCATATTACATACATGATTATTAAACAGAACATATAAATATAATAATTATTCACAAAATGTGATAATAGTAATATTCAGCATTTTCTTAATACATATACTTGGTCAATTTACTCATGGTTCATAAGTTGATATAATTGCTAACATGTACAATTTGAAATACACATTGTATTTAAAAGTATAAACAAGTACCACCGTGTACCATAATGCAAAAAAGCCAGAGATATACATATACAAAAATATATACTGAATAGATATATTCCACTAAATTGCAAAAGATACCACGGGACAGTGCATTGGTACTTTATAAGTCACCATGTTTGCATATCTTATGACCAAACTAACATTTATTGAGTGTTAAAAGTATACAGTTTTTAAATTCTATATACATGTAGAAGACACATTATATTTCTCCCTTGATCAATTCACAAAGGGATTTAAGAACATCATAATTTTCACAATTCAATATCCATATGAATTTGTTCATGTTATCAAGAAGTATAAAATTTGTTTACAATGTTGTTGTATACTTTTCTATACATTTTTACCATTTTTTAGGACTTTACTGTGAAACTAAGAATGGAAATAAAAAAAAATATTCATTTTACTCACGTTAATATGGCATAAGTTGTGATTTATTTATTTTTTTGAAAAAAAAAATAGTTTGTAGCATCTGTCCTTATCTCATTTAAAACCCAAGGAAAAAGAAAATCATATGTAACGTTTAAGTAATTGTACCTTGGGAAACTGTGTAAAAAAGTAATGATTAAATAATGATAAACCATACACAACAAAGGGAATTCTGAAAATGCACAGTCTTAATTAGTATTCCTCGGGTCAATGTGCCTTTTCCTTAAATATTTAAAAGACTCCAGCTTTGAATTTTTAAAATAAATTTTCACAAGATTTTACATAATTATACAATTTATATATTCTCAGCTGAATTATATCGAATTTCTGATTGTTTTTTGTTCATTTCAATATTATGTAGAAACTTCGTAATTAAACTTTTGGGATCGAATCTACATGTATATACACAAGTATACGGATAGTGTGGGATATATTGAAGGAAAATAAGAGAGAGAGAGAGAGAGAGAGAGAGAGAGAGAGATCTAGAGAGAGAGAGAACAACTATATATTTTTATTTTATGATCCGATACTTTGCATCTATATCGATAGAGTAAATACTTCGAGAAATGTTTGATCCACCATTTTTAGCAAAAGTTAAAATGATTCTAAAATTTCAATATTTATAAACTTCAAATATCATAGAGGAAGAAGAAATGGTTACTCGATAGCTTTAGCTATACATAGAGGTAAAACACTGGTTGACCACACACCAGTTACAGGAATACTTTCAGGCATGAATGGGATTAAAAACAGGTTCCATGCGAAAGTATTAAAATTTGTGGTCCTCCAGCAATTTTCACAAGTTTGTCGAAAGGTATTAGTGAGGTCTTTCAATATTAAGATTATTTATGACATCATGATCTTGTTTACAAACATGCTCCAGTAATGCACTATCTCGACTAAACGTGAGGAATTCTCCACAAAACTTACGCTCAAAAATAGTTAATACCCAAGAAAATTTGTGATTTTGTCGACGAACCTAAACCATATTTTTAATTTACTGGCTACACTTAGTCATAACTATGCAGAATTATACACTATCATATTAAAGAGAAATCTCTGCAGTATAACAATGATTTATTATTTTATAAGGTACACTGTACTATGCTATGATACACAAGTACTGGTAAATGATACATGTATCATGTTGTAAATTTTGAATTTACTAGGGGAGGTCAATGCAAAAATTTACAACATGATAAAGTTATCAAGTTGTAAATTTTACATTTACTCCCCCTGTAAATTCAAAACATGCAAAAGAAAAGTAAGCCAAAAAAGCCGCAGGCACAGCTGTAAAGTCAAGCATTGGCAAATTCCAAATATATACCAAAAAGTTAGAGAAAGGTCCAACCTCCCATTCCCACTACACCTCCACCCCACCCCCAAGAAATAATATTTTCCAGTTTTGACAGTTTAGGGTTTTTTTTTTTTGTTTTTTTGTTTTTTCTTTGCTTGTCAGATATGTTTTGGGAGGCCCCCTTCCTACTTTTAAACCCATCGCTAGGAGTCTGAGGCAACATCAATTCGGACAGATAAATAATCTGCATATCTTTTTCCAATGATTCTATAAAGGACAAGGACAAGATCTTGTATATACTATATACTTATAAGTATTGTGAAATTCCTTACTGTGTAGATTTTATATTTTTGAAGTATTATGTTATGAAGTTCACGAAAGACAACTTTATGTTTGTAAAAACAGTTTTAGCAATGCATGGCTATATTTATTTTTTTTTAAAATTGTTTCTAATTGTTGTGGCCCGAGAGTTACACTCCTGCAAGCCATAGTTATAAAGATGACAAAAAATCTTCTCAAGTAAGAGATTCTATATCCAAATTTACAAAGCAAATTTGTTCATACATGTATTTATATTTCCCAAAGAGATCTGTATATGTTTTACTTCAACTAAAACAGGTCTGGCTTCATGGTTATAAATATTAATTCAGTGAAGTATTGTAAACCTGTTCTGTTGCTCAACTAACCATGCCCGAAATACGGAGCAATCTAAACTTACATCTTTAAGCAAAACATATAATTGTCATGTACATTTTGAATTTATTAGGGGGAGGTAAGTGCAAAATTTACAACATGCCAACTTTTTGCGTTTAACCCCCCCCCCCCTCAATAAATTCAAAATTTACAGCATGACAGAATATTAGTATGAGTTCATGGAAAATTGTCTACTGCTCTTCACAAGTAAATAATGTTCATATTGATCACACTATAATGGCTAATTGCAATGACAATGGCCTGATAAATAGTTTATATCACAGACTTTATTTAGGCCTCATTGTAGAGTTTATATAGAGACCTTCGTAATTCCATGTCTTCACTGTTCATACGTCCTCTAGCGGGATCATGCGCGCTGCTTGAGCGCGGGCGCCTCTCCCGGGCACCTGCTTCGAACGTTTCTGGAGAAATTACCTGCCTTGATCGACGTTTCGCTGTTTTTGTGGAGCGAGTGTTGTTGGAATACACATTCTCAATAGTTCTAGGCACTGTGGTACTGAGTATTGCCTGGGACTGTCGATTGTAGCGCCTCCCAGGGGCGGTGTAAGCCCTCTCCCTAGAAGGCACCGACTGAGTTTGGAAACCTGGGGGAGCGGTAATGTAGGTTGTCAGACGAGTGTTTCCAGAAAACGAAGACGGATTCTTATGACGCAGAAAATCTTCCTCATCCGGTATAGACATATTCTGAATGATGGTATTTTGAAGGCGATAATTGTTATCACTATAACGATAATCCGTATCGCTATATCGATAATCGTCATTCTCACAAAATACAGAGGAATTCGTAACTGAGAAACTCCTGACTCCAGAGTCCATGGCGCCCACACTGCTGCTGGGACCATCAATAACATCCCCCGTCCCGTCAGCGCCCGCTTCCTCTCCATACTCGGAGGGATACGTCGCTGATTTCGCCGATACAAATTCTCCTCTCGTTATAGTCGGGGGTACCAGGATTTGTGGCTTCATTGCTTTCTTTGAACTTTTGGTCTCTGTGTCGGAATGATGGGTTTCAGACTCAGTTTTTTGGTCACTTTGTACTCCTGTGGATTTTTCCAGAAGGATCTTAATTGCTTTCACCTCCTCTGACAAATGAGACAGTTCTTCACGAAGGTCGTTTGATTTGATTGAAGAGGGTGACAGGCTTATATTATCACTATCTCCGGGAGTGACTTGTACGCCCACGTGACAAACCTCTGCAGAACCGGGTCTTTGGAGATTTCGCAATATATTCCCATTTTTCTCTGGTTGTCTCCCTGTTCTATAAAGGTTGTGCTGGCGCAAAATGATCCGTTTATTTTCCGTTTCATTAAGGAAAGTGTAGTCGTCCTTCTTGGAGGCTCTGAATGATTTCAGTATGTCAGAAGAATCCCTGACGTGAAAACAGCGACACACGAGAATGTTTAGATGTCTCCCCTCCCTCAGCACACACAGGACACATCCTGGATCATATCTGTTTAGAACCATGTTCTGAACATTCGGCATCCGGATCACACTATTCTGGGTATCATTCCGGGTGTATAACCTAGCACCCACGGTCCGGATTTCCAGCTGTGCGCTCTTTCCCTGGATTTTTGGCGCCTTTCTGGCGATTTCCCGCTCCAGGGCGTCATCCAGACGACTCGTCTTCCACATCCCCAGGAAGACCACATTCTTTCTCAGTAGAGATCCCTCCATGTTTACGAGTTGTTGTAGTTTTAAGAATCAGGTTTGCGTCAGATCCTCATTGATTTTCTCAGTAGAGCGTAAATAGCATACGCCTGCATGTTTACACCTGGATCGACATCCCACGATAAAGGTGTGATTTATATCTCCTGACACTAATTGTAACAATTCAATTCCTGATCTGTTATATATAAAATTATATT